CCTGCCTAATGTATATTGCTTACTGCCTAATATATATATATTGCTTACTGCCTAATGTATATTGCTTACTGCCTCATGTAAGTTGCTTACTGCTAATATGTATATTGTTTACTGCCTTATTTATATTGCTAACTGCCTTATGTATATTGCTTACTGTGGTATGTGTATTACTTACTGCCCAGTGTACATTTCTTACTGTGTTATGTATATTGCTTACTGCCCAGTGTACATTGCTTACTGCGGTATGTGTATTGCTTACTGCCCAGTGTACATTTCTTACTGTGTTATGTATATTGCTTACTGTGTTATGTATATTGCTTACTGCCCAGTGTACATTGCTAATTAATGTGTATTGCTAACTGCCCAATGTTTATTGCTTTAATTACTGCCTTGTGTACATAGTTGCCTAATGTTTATTGTTCACTGCTCAACTTACATTGCTGACTGCCTAATTTATATTGTCTACTGTCTAATATCTACTTCCTAAGACATAATGATCAACTGCAAACTTTTATCATGTTGACCATCTGCAGCAAACTGTCCCCTGGCCAGTTCTAATCTTAATTATACAAAGTTCTCTCTTGTATTTGAGAGTCACTTTTAGGCACAGCACTGTTTGGTTAGGGGCTTTATAAATATTAATGGAAATTTCTCCTTTTGTGTAGTTAAGTACCTATTTAGCTTAACAAGTTTCGTGTGTGATCGTTATGTGGTAACCTTATAATCACACTTATCACATCATTGGAAGTGTACAAAATAATCATCACCTTAGTGCAGTAACAGGTTAACTCCTATCACATTAAATAAGGAGTTAACATATTACTGCACTACGGTGACAAAATCTTGCCAAATCAAAATTCATGCTCGACAGATGACAAAACTTGTAAGAAATATTCATGAACTGATACAAATGTACCACTTTAACTATACAAGAATAAACAATTATGACTGTAACGAGTCTCCTGGACATAGTTCTACCGATAAAACATTTCCATGTGATACTACCATTACTGGCAAGTCCTAAACCAAACTAAAATTACACATTTGCGCATCATAAAATGGAGGAGCAACTGATCCAAAATTCTGATCAATGAAACACTGTCAAATTTCTCACTAACGTTTTCTTTCTTTGTGGACCTCACCATCATAACATTTTAAAGACCACGTCAGCAGATCGACAACCTTTACATTCCACCCACTTTCATTAATTTTTTTAGAAAGCTTAGAGGCGCACATCTTAGATCACTTTAAAAAACCAAACAAACCCTATATATATCAAACATCATGGCTTCCAAAGCAACTTCAACAAACATCAACCACAGGTTTGTTTAACGTTTATAGAAAGAATAACAAGTCCCTCTAGTTGTGTGCACTATTTCAAAATGAGAATGCATACATAGTTTAGAATATATGCCATTGTTATATATTTTTTAAAAATCGATTATCCACTTCTTATTGCTATGACAATGACCCATTTTCAAAAGTGCATATATGCTGGAGAATGGACCAATATAGAAGCTTGTACTTTGAACCTCAAATTCCACAGGTTAAATCAGAAACAACAGACATGCACAGTAAACTTAGGTAAAACATCTGCACCAATAACATGTTAGCTAAAAATAGGAAAGTTCAGGACCACACAAAATTATTCTAGAACCAAAGTCTCATCCGTTCTTATACAATCCCTATCTCAATGATTGGTCATTAACAATCTTATGTTGTGTTCATGTAAAATCATACAGCTTTATATTCTCAACTAAGTAGCTCCTTTTAATGGGTACAGTATAGGGACCTATCAACCCACTGTCAATGATTATGTTAAAGAATTCCTTGTTCCAACTCCAACACGGGTTTTAACTGCAGTTGTGAAATCCTTTTCCAAATATCCACTAATAATCCTTCCATTCAAATGGACACGGGCCAGCTCTTGTAACTTATCATAAGCTGTCCATATCAGCATGGCAGTGTAGATAATAAATTGTAATCCAAAGTTTGCTGGTATCACAAGTTCTAACCCAATATGGGCCAAGCTGTTACTTTTCTTGGGCAAGAAACTTAACTCATTGCTTAGTACTGGTTGGTTCTAGGAACAGTTTCACGAGTTCAAACTAAAATAAATTCTGTGTAAACTATACTGTTTATTTTATTGCAAGATCGTCTGGAAAATTCTTCTTCAGTAATTCAATATATTTTTATTCAATAGTGTTGTATCCTGCAATCTCAGCAAGGTAGAGTTGTTCAGGAAGATATGCATAAATATTGCTGATTAAGGTTCCGTCACAATGCTGTTTTTTTCTCTAACATTTCGTTTTTCACTTATTTTTAATTCTCTTCAGTCTTCTACCAATCTTCTCCAAGATAATCCTTTCATATTCAGCTATTACTGAACTTAATTCTGATTACAATTAGTACTGTTCTACACAACTTCCTACCGAGACTATGAAATACTTTTCCTGAAGTAATTATATAATAGAAATTTTAAAAATTCAAGGGAAGCAACACCCACTTAATTTAAGATAATACTAACATAGTAACTTCCCTTATCTGCAAAAATTTACTAAAATTCAGCTGGATAAAGGGAAGTTATTATGTTCGCAGAGCACCTCTTATTATAGAAAATTGAAGACCAGATCACAACAAATACACCAACATCAAAAAACCCAATTGCTGTATGAACAAACTTTTTTGTCTTTATAAATTGCATTTAGTAGGTAGTCAAAACAGTAAGCACTTCTTACTTGGTACCTTTTTTTTTTTTTTTAAGAAATTAACTTAAAAAGTTAATTGAAAGCATCATGCAAGTGTTTGCTTTACATTTTAGTAAGACTTCTAAATTTCAAGTTTTCTATGGATCAACTATTTTTAGATAAAAATCAATCCATTAAAAGTACACCTTTATAAAGGCTTTAATATCTAAATTTCTCTTTAGACTATTTAGGAGTACGATGAAGAAAAATATATTTTTATTATTAAAATTATATAGTCATCCGATGCTTAATCTAGTATATCATTTGTAAAACTTTCTCCCAGCGATACTTTCTGATCTCTTAGAAATTACTTGTTATTGAAGTACATAGTCCAATGAAAGTTTTCTAACATACAAATTAACATTTACGTACAAGATAGGTTTCTGCACATTACCAAGGTTGTGCAGGTTCTACAGTGAATCTTGATTTGAGGACGAGTCTTTTCCAGGGACTGAAATATAGTCTATACTCAACGGACAGTATGCCATCAACAATGCTGAAAAGGGTAAATTTCTTCACCCTGATCAACTTATAGAGGTATTTGTATATATAGATATAAATATAAAAACAAAATTATAAAATGTTAAAATGGTATTCTGTCAGTTGTCGATCCATCACCATTTTAACACAAACCGTGCTCTGCTGGCTTAGCACACCATTTCACTCTGGTAATCTGTGGCAGTAACCTTTCACCTGCACAGGCATTCTTTCATATTACAACAATTCTAGAAGTAGCAAAAAAAAACATGGCAAGGTCAACATGTATGGGTCAAAAAATGACCCAATATTACTAAAAGTTTCTGTACTTGTCACTTTATTTAAAGGAAAATCTTTATCATTATAAGTTTTCCAAGTTAAAACATACACGTTTTAAAAAAAATTCTTTGTGTTTTCTATGAACATTTCAACTTTGCATAGTAAAATTGATATAAACTTGAAATAATATATAAATAACAATGTTAGAATTAAGATTCCTTAAAGAAAATTGATTTGGAACATATGTATATTCCAACGATACAAACTGCTTCCAGTATATAACACATGCTATTGTCCTCTACAACACACAACATCCACTTCATCTTCTCAACAATGTATACATACCTGCAATTAAATTAATCAAGTTAACTCAAAAACTACAAATGGCAAACTGGCAACATATACAAATATATATTATAAAGACTCAAAGTATAATTATGTGAAATTCAATCTGTTTTAATAAAATAGTTAAAACATATTTTTCTTGTTTAAACCAAAGATATATATGCCAAAACTAATTTAAAGATCTAACAACAGCTGTTCTTAAATTCATAACAAACACTGCCAACATATTACTCTCACACGAAGAACTACAAATACATGGGTACTTGTTCAAAATGTCAGAAAACCCGGACTTTAACATCATCTTTCTTGAAGGAGTGTTCAGAAGTAAAATAAACCTGAATTTCTGCAAAAACATGAAAAAATGAACCTATGAAATTGTACAGAATGAAGAAGATGCTAGGGATATGTCTCAAGTCGTCAATAAAGAGACACACAGAAAAGAAACAATACGCCCATATTCCTAAATATTCATGAAAGGGCATAAAAAGACAAAATTGTGCAGAAAAGGGTGCTCAAATTAACTTCTATTTGTGTATTAGCAAAGTTTGAAAGCTTATGTAATTCGTATGAGTACAAGTTTTCACTTAAAACATTAACTGGCTGTTAAAAAATAATTCATTTCACATATAAATTTTGGTGCCCTCTCAAACTTCAAATCAAGAGCACTGATCACAAAGTAATTCAAGAACACATTTGTTTATGATAAATACATAACAATCTTAATATGTCACATAGAGAAAAATCACCAATATCCAAGTAAGACTTTTTTGCTTTTTTTTTGTGAAATTAGAATATTTTACAGCTATAGCAGACAGATTTGTCTTAACCAATTTGCCAAGTTAACAAAACTGCTAGCACAAATTGTGAAGGAAATCTTTTGTTAAGCTTGCACATGTGAAAAACGTGAGTTTCAAATTAAAAAATTTAACAGAGTTATTCAATTTTTAAAGAAAGCAAGGAAAATATTAACACACCTGTAAAAATTGCCTTACTCAGCAATTATATGAAATTGACCACAAAATCATGACAAAGCTGAAAACGAATATATTCAAAGCAATATTATCTAAAAAAATAATATCTGTGAAATAATGCAATGAAGTTTGATGTCTTAATCATCTAATCCGCAGGTATTTTCAACAATGGAATGGATACAATGCTACGTCTTTTCTCTTTAGGTCTTTATACATCTCCTCATATGTAGTGTTGAAGTCATATGTATTTGGCGCAGTTGGTGATGGTCCTGGTAGTTTGACCTGGCTTCCTGTACCATACGACTGCACATTAAATCCCTTTTTACTGAAAAAAGAAAGAATCTTTGTGTTAGTATATGTCAAAAATATTGGAATATCGTCTGAAGATTTTTTTTTAATTCATCTTATTCCCGTATGTAATAACATACAAATAACTTAAGTTTGGAAGAGATAGATATAAAAATTGCAAATTTACAAACAAAATATCTACAGAGCTACAAATAAATATCAATATCCTTGACCAAATGATCAAGCATCAAACTGATAGGTCATAATAAAGACTGTTGTAATCATGATGTAAATGGTGTAAAGAAGTAGCTGCTTCAAGAGCTTGAGCACCAGTATAGATCTAATAAGTGATAAGGATTATTGAGTAGATACACCAGTCATGCCCTCCAGAAGCTAGCTCCAAAATCTTTTAACAAACTAAACATGGCCACATGGATCTCAGATCAGAATCTAAATGGCTTTACTTTTAGTCAAAAGGATAACAACTTGTTTGCTTACTACAATGTACTTCAGTAAAAAAAAACTAGAGTATTACTTTAGAAAGACACATCACCCTCATAGAAAGCAGTAAGTAGCCTGGCTGGGTTGATCTCTTACACTGTCGGGGTTTATGTCCAGGTGCCCCGCCCACCCCCCTATTAATATAAGAATTTAGCCCAATTAAGTTGGTGTGAAGAGTTTGACCCATTTGACAAACTTTCTTTCATACTGTCAAACCGTTGGAAAAAGACATCGCCCGTCCAAATTTAAATTATCTCAATGTCTTTTTGACATGTCTAATTACTTGGAATAATCAGAATTCAACAACGACATCTTATTATGATGGCTGATTTATGTTATGTCGTTATTTCGCACCACCAGATGCTGGATGAAAAAAGAAAAGTACAATTAAATGGTCACTCTAATAACTTTATTTTCTTTCGGTATGGCGCCCAATGGATCAAATTAAAGTTAGATGAATAAGTCTGGTAGTTACATCGTCCAATCTTTGTCTGGCACAAGGCAAAAACATGACAAAGTGATCACTTTTAATGATTTCAAGCTAGTGCCACACAATGCAAATTTTTAAGCACACAATTACAACAAAGTGATGTCCTGTAATTTGTAAAGCGGAATGAAAGACTGACAGATTTGTAGAAGGAAATTTTGAAGGAAATAGAAGGTTAAATATTAAAACTTTTGCCCAAACACTACAGATATCATTAATTTTCTTCTGAACTGTTATTTCTACTCTACAGAACAGTTCACAGGTTTCCCATTTGATGACCACCTGGTCACTTTACACACAGTGTAGAAGGGAAGAAAAGAACAACAATATTTGAATATATATTTTTATTTCACAAATCAATATAAATATACAAAATATCACATTTATGATTTGTCTAGTATATTTCATTTTCCTACCTAAGACAGCTGTGAGCCTCCATACTTCTATTTTGGTTACTAGAACAAACAACTGCTATTCGTAAATCTGGCATATTAACAGATAGATATGTACTTAAACTAAAGAAATAAAGTACAAATATTTAATTTGAGGAAAAAATATAAGTAAACTGTGTTAACAGAACCCGATGGGTCCAGATTTATTTTAAGGAAATTGGACTATGGTTTGTTATTTGTTTTCGACAGAGCTAAATAAAATGTATGATAGTTTTAAACGAAATTATTTCTGGAAAAATCTTTATATTAGTAAATTTATTTTCATGTACATTCTAAAATTTATTTAATCGAAAGATTTTATTTTTCCTCATCAAGTGCACTGTTTTATGACTTCACAAAGGTAAAAAGTTAGAACCTATTGTAAAGCAATCATTTCTGATTTTTCGTCTGAAATTACTTCTCATAACAGCCATTTTGTAAAATATGGAACGAGCGAAAATGCGCTTCATCGAATTTAAAAACAAATTAAACAGTTCATGATTACCTATCAACCTTCAGTAATTGGTACATATTGCTTTGATATATATAACAAGTCATTATTTGCAACATGATAATGTAAATTATTTGTTGCATGTGAAAAGCATTACCCATTGAAACGTGCGATGGGTGGGGTACGGTAAAATTCCAGATAATTAAATTTAAGGATCTATTTGTAACAAATTATGGCATAAAACAGACATGCAGTAACTAAGGAATACTTGAAGAGAATAAGTGCTTGAGCATTTCACGACGACTTGCGTTTCTCAAGAGAATAAAGATATTCACCTTTTTTCTATTTTTAAATTATTTTTCAACACATGTATGGGTTCTGTTTTCCTAACCATCCGCGCAAATTAACCCGTAAGGCTGCTATTCCATTTATACGTGATCAGTGGTCCGACATCCGCGTCCGCTACCGATTCGCTAATCAAAGAATACGTTGAATCTTTTCCTTTTGTCCGTTTACCATCCGCTTCCGCGACAGCATCCGCGCCGTTTTGCAGGATGAGCGATTTTTTATGGACGCGGACAGTCACTGACATGTCTCATCCCTACAAAATGCCTCGAACGAAATTAAATACTTTATCGATTTCGAAAGAAAATACTAAAGAGCTCACCATAATAGTGTGGGAGAACCTATAACTGTATAAGTTTATGATGCAGCAGTGACAGATTAAAACAACAACATCTGGTCTCCAGTTGCTAAGGAGATGTTATTTGAAAACCTGACTGATATTCAAATCAATGTTTGTTACCTAATTCTTTGATGTTACAACTGTTTTTGGTATTAGAATGAAATTTTATCATATTCTACAAATAAGTATCCTCTGTTCGCTATTCAAAAGTATACTGGTTGGAGAGATAACTCCGACACTAAACAGCGTTCGACACTAACGCAGTCCCGCGGTCCCGAGGACTCCAAAAATTGGCAAGGGATTTCTAAAGTTCCAAGTCAGATGTCCCGTTGGGACTTTTAAAGTTCTTTAATAAAAAATATACTAAACAATTGAAACTGATCTTTAATCAACTTTAAAGTATTCATTTAAGATGGTCACCTTGCAAAAAAGTATTTATTAAACATGATAAACTTGCAAAAAGTAAACTGGAAATGAACCATTGTTTACAAAACACGAAAATTCTCCACATACCAAACATTCCAATGTCAGTATTTGCCAATATTTTGCTGTATTATTAAACACCATAGTAAAAATGATTTGTTTTATATAGTTTTGTTTTATATTTGATGTTTACTATGGTGTTAGAACACTTACACCGTGAAAAAAGTCGGCAATTCCATAATCAATAGTGTAATAGATTTTGGATAAACAAATTCGGATGTGTGATTTTTTTGATTTTTTATTTGTTTGGGTCGTCAGACCAAACAAATAATGGTAGCGAAATTTCAGAGTCTAATGTTGTTAATTGCAAATGCCGAAAGTAGTCCACTTTTTTGGAGCGGTTACTTCCCTTTTGTATGTACACTAAAGCCGAAAAATTCAGGGGAGATCACTGCGTAAAGATGGTCAAAGACAGGCGCATCAATTTTCAAGCAAAGTAATTCCCGAATGGTCAAAGATTTCTAATATTGTTTTATTGTATTTTCTGATCGAAAATAACTAAATACAAAGCGGACATTCAATCTCTGACACAGAAGTTTACTACAAACCTAACAACAAGTAGTTCTCAAAACAGCTTAAAACTAGCGATTTAAAAGAAAAAAATATTTTATTTTGTTACAAGTATCCAACAAATTACAACGCATTTAAAGTTAAACAATAGCGTTGGCTTATAGAATTGTCAATAAATGCACAATTACAAATTACGCGGATGAATATGATTTTATCAATGAAAATACTATTTTTAGCCATGTTGATTACCGAATACTACACAAACTGAGTAGTGGAATATATAAATTCTACATGCCGGACCGTTTGGGCTAGAGGATTTTCGCTAAAATATTTACTTCAATTATAAACAACAGGCTTACCCTGAACAAAATACCACGAAATTAATAAGGATTACAAACCCGAACTGCAATGGAAGTTCTAAATTTAGAATTACTTGATATTATTCAGACAAACTGTGTATAACTTCTCCGTGCTACAGTGGTAACGCGCTCGCCTCGTGAGTGAGAGGTCTTGAGTTCGATTCCCAGTCGAGGAAACTTTTTTTTTGTTAAATTCTTTTTTTTAAGTGTTTTGTTAAGGAAGTAGCCATGATATACAAAGATAAAGTGTGGCTGTCGTAAAAAAAAGAACATAAATGATTTTTTGATGCAACTCTAGTTATGCAGAATTCCGTATGTATCAAACTCTGGTGCCTTACAAAAGGAATTATAATACATAAAAAAAAACTTATACAGGAAAATGCTTACAGATATAGTATTACAGTACGATTTAGATTGCAAAGATCAGAAAATACCACAGAACTTGCAGCTGTTTGATTCTTTATAAATATACATGCTTATAGTAAGCTCCAGGATTATTTACATCTGTGTTAAACAACAGTTAAAGTCGTTACAAGCCCTAATTTAGAATAATATGGTTTTCTTCAGGCCGTTCACATATAAATTCACGGTGGCTGAAGGGTTTTCGGGCTCGCTTAGGAAGCGAGAGGTCTGGAGTTCAAATCCCATTAAAGGTTACTCATTTTTTTAAATTGTTAAAGTCAAATAAACATTGGATTGAATATCAGTGTTGCAATTAGTTTAATAGCCAATTTACTACAATTAAAACGCTGGAAAGCATTGGTGGCACTAAACATATAATCTCACAACCTGCACCTTTCTTACATTCTGAGACCCAAACAAATTCAGCGCCTTCTGTGCTTTGATTTTTTAATATACAGATTTTGTGATTATATTTAAATGCAATAATAATAACTTGTTCCTGTCTTTGTTATCATGATATTGATATCATTATGTAAAGGAATTATATAAGTTAGGAATTTTATTATGAGCAAAAAAGCTTTTTTGCAGTAACTTACTTTCTTCTCTTGACTAGTTTACACTGATTCAAGTAGACCTAATACAGCAATATTATAATATCAAATGAAAATTACTTACTGCATAACTACAGATAAAGGGACAAAATAAATTATATGTATTGAAGTCAGTAATATTTGACATATTTTACAAGACCTATAAACCTAATAATGCTGGAAGGAAACATAAGAGGATTTCGTTCCTTAATTACTTAATGTTAATACAGATGGGCAATGATCAACATCCCAAAAAGAAGAACGAAAGAACAATAAAAATAAGTTGCATATCAATACTGATAGACAAAGGTTATTGCTTAATTCTAATAATTATATAAAAAAAATCAGGGACTTCCAACTTAGGGAAGGGATTTTTGAATTCAAAAACAGATGTCCCGTTGGGATTCCTGGCTTAAAAGTTAGTGTCAACCCCTGCTAAATCACATATTTTTTGTAATATCTTAATTATCTTCCTGTATATTTTAAATATTGAACCACCTAAATAAAGTTCAGTTCAAAGACTTTACATGACACTACAAAAATTATGTATGAAAATGAGAATTGGTACTTCTTTAAGGTCCTGAATGGGGTATACAAAACATGGTCTTTTTAACCCTCAACAGTAGATAAAGTCGACACTTAAATTTTTAAGTAAAAAATGACAGGAAAATCAGCATCATTAATTCATTTTTACATCTTATATGCTTTATCTATTTTTTGTTGATGTAAAAACAAGTTTTCAAAAATATATTCCAAGTCAGTGGCCTGTGGTCAATACATTTCTTACTACCTCATTGTAATTTAGTATAAAGAACGTTTTGAAACAGTTTTTGCCAACAAAAAGTTTCGGTTAATTGAAAAATATTAAAAAGTTTACCAACTTACAAAAAATCATCATATTCTGTCCTGCTCCTATACTACTAGGTGACCATATATGCTTTTTTGTTGAAAAATAAAATTATAAAAATTATATTTATCAAGTGTCGGGGTTATCTATGCGTCGGAGTTATCTCTCCGACCAGTATATATATAGAGAAATAACATACCTATGGAATAATACCCACGGACATGCCCGGACACGGATCACTGATGCGGGTCACTGATCACGTAGTAATGGAATAGCGGCCTAAAGGTCAATCTCGTAATCACGTGGTCAAACATTTTGCTGTATTTTTTAGCTGTCGGAAAATGCCACATGGGAAATTTGGGTTGTGAAATTTTCCAATTTGTGAAAAAAGGTTAATATTTTTTTTGGATTGGGAAAAAAACAAAATTTTGATGGGGAAGGGGGCCCATATTCGGACCCATGGGGTAGGCAGGGAAAAAGGCCTGTTATGTTGGTAATAAGATTTTATGTGTCAATCTTTGGCTTATCAACAGATTATACATGGGTAGTTTTATCAAGGTATGCTTCACTTTACTTCATGGCATGCTAGATGAATGAATACAAGAATGTCAGATTCCTCACCTGGCACAATTATTGGTGGACTTCCCCTAAAGGGTCTGTCTTCAGCGTTCACATCATGTCATACTCGTAGTATGCTTAAGATCTTTAGCTACTAATATGTGTGTTTGACAGTTTGAGTTAGTTTACCCTTGCCACAGGAAAGAGACAACATTGGCGAGCATACTACATATTTTACAGTCTGAGCCTACTATATTTAAATGTAAACCTCTATGTTATAATTTATTAATTATATAAAGTCCTGGTTTAGACCTTGGGATTTCTCATGGATAAGACTAAGGGGTCTAACTTTATCCTGGATTAGGTGCTGAGGTCTAAGCCAGGAGTATATAGTAGGCTCATTCTGTATTGGTAGTATTTAACTGAATGAAATATTGACAAAGAGCTATTTAAATAAATTATATATTTTCAGTTATTTGAGTCATAGTTAGCAAGATGGAAGGTGGGGGAGTTGTTGTTCCAAATCAGTCCCCTGATCAAGGCTTCTTCCACATGCCAAAGCTTCAGGTATTGTTTTTAACTGAATATAGCAAAGAAAGAAAAAAAATGTGCAAATAATGCTTTAACACTAGTTATACCTCCAAAATGTAAACATACATCAAAAATTATAACTTTCTTACAAAACATTCAGGAATCTGATTCTAACTAATGAAGGGGCTTGAACTAAGCAAAAGTCTTTTTACTTTTCTCTTGCTTAGCTTGAGCCTCTCCAAAGTAAATGTAATTCATAAGATATAGTTAATATTTAGATTAGCGTACCTTTGGTCTTTATTCCTTTCATGAGCATTTCGTAGATTGTACAGAACTTTGATTGAAAATTATTTATACATTTTATGCATTTATTATGAAGTATTTCACATTAAAGTTATATTAACAGAGTTTAACAAATGTGATAAAAATAAAATATTTGATGTTTTACATGCTGCAGGTTCCAACATATCAGAAGCCAAGAGTATTTGTTCCTTTAAATTACCCTCCACGTCCTCCACTTGATGGAAATGCAAGTACAAGTGATCCAAAGCAGCGGCCAGTGGCTGGTCCACCTGTTATGCCGAACGCAACACAGTTGTCTGGCACAACTGTTGATGGAATGTTTGATGGGAAACGGATACGCAAAACAATGGTCCGAAAAACAGTTGATTACAATACATCTGTTGTCAAATATTTAGAGGTACTTACTTCTTTGAAATTGATGTGATGTATTTAGGTATATTAAAGAGGCAATTGTACATATTTGTGTATTGCAAGTAATGAATTCAGTTTAATCTATATATTTATATATGCTTGATCATCATGGATTGCATAAAGATTTGCTCTTGTTCATTTGTCAAACTGTCCATCCTTAAAGTAAACAGTGGAATGTGGAACCATCTGAGTCTTATGGAAACATTTCTGATTATAATCTAATTGATTGAAGTGAATGTTTTAATAGTCTAGTCCTTAATGTCTTAACCAAAACATAAACATAAGACTTATTCTAAAGAAACACATATAGTTGTTTGTAAAGTGTAATACAACCTCATTTTAAGTTACATGAGTTTACTTTTGAAAAAAAAAAAAAAACAGCTGTTTTTAAATAGTTTGACTGTTTTCGAAGAAGCTTGTCAAACATTTAATTAATGTTTAGAAGTTTTTAAACAAGTTTAATCTGTTATTACAATCAGAATAATTTTCTACAAGAAAATGATGACTGTTTTCTAAATTTGAATATGTTGAAAATGTCAACTAATTATTAATATTTGTTTGTTTATTAGAATCGTGTGTGGCAGCGAGATGGGAGGGATGCTAGAGCTATACAGCCTGATGCATTATATCAGTTAGAGGTTGGTTTTTTGCCATACCATTTTGTAGTTAATTTAAACTGTGAGGGAACTGAAACTGATAGGCCTTTTGGCTTTGTTGCCCACATAGGACTAGGGCCCTCTTGCACATAAATTTTGACTATTCCAAATATGGAAGCTAGACAAATTCACGTAAGAACTTCCATGAGGTTATACCGTTATAGGTAAACCTTATATAGCAATATATGTTCGTCTGTTAATTAATTCCTACATATTTCCATCACAGCCTTAGAAATGTTACTGCATGGCCAAGTGGTTTACACTTTAACACTAGACAAAATTTGTAAGGGCAAATTGTTGTTCCCCAAGCAGAAAAATTTCATTACTCAATACTGGTTGGTTTCAGGAACAAATTTAAGAGTGTGTCTACAAGCTTTAAGCTTCCTACACAACCAAACTGAAATAAATTCTGTAAAAATTAAGTTCCTTATGCATGATGGTATCAGGCCATCTTAAGGAGAAATTTACTGTTGATAGAAGTGGAAATGGAAAGTACTGGTTTATATCAAATAAATAAGATTATTTCTTTTTTTGAGTTAATGGTCTATACTAGTTGTTTCATGAATTAAGGAACAAGTGCAGATTCCTGGGGAAAAAAGTCTTGAAACATGTATTTCATGAAATAATTTTGGAAACACTGCAATGTATTGCCCGAAAAAAATGAAGTGGTATATTATTATACATTATATATTCAGCTGTGATAAATGAAATACTTTTAACTAAATTTCAGGTGACGCCACCATGTGACATGCAACAGAAGCCGATGAACTGTCTCACTTCAAAGTTTATGCGGCAATCAACAAACAAGTTCAGATGTCCTATATTCTGTATATCTGTAAATACCATTTTCTATTCATTTTAACTTTAACCTGTAAGATGTAATCTTCCCAGATAAAAAAATGGGCAGATATCCTTGAATTTGGTGCTTAGGATCTATTAATAATTAAGGTAACTCACATTTCCTTGGTATTCTATGGAGGTGTTATTTTCTGTATTAAAAAAAATGATACTGTGTATTTAATTGATTTGAGATAACATCTACATGACCTAAATTGGAATTTTAAGCTTGATAATTGGATGAAAAGTGGGGTTATCCTATTTGTTTGTTTGATTGGGTTTTATGTCACACCCACAAAGTATAGGTCATAGGGCAACGTTCCAGCTTTACTGGTGGAGAAAGACCTCGGGTGCCCCTCCGTGCAATATTTCAGACAAGAAGGGACACCCGAGTAGAACCATTGATGTTCCATAAGCAAGCCGGATAGCTTCCTCACATGAAAGAATCAAAAGTCCCTGTTTGGATTCGAACCCACAGCGGTGAGGGGCAAGTGGTTGGTTATCCTACTAACCCTGGAGTATGAGAATACACTTTGTTAAGGTTTTGCCTGAAATTTCTTTCACTGAATATTTTACTTTCGCTTGAAAGTTCAGTCGTGCAGTTGACTTAAAACAATAACTCTAACATTAATTTTCTCTTTTTTACTCCAATTTCATTACATGGGTAATTTTTGCATTAAGAAGGTTGTTCTTAGTTAAGCATCAAGCACAGGAAATAGTCAATCATGCAATTTAGCTCCTGTTGTACATTTATGCTATAAATTGCTACAATTACGGCTACAATATTTCTGAAAAATTTTGAGCCCATCTTAGTTTTCAACAGAGAGAAGTAGCTTTGTATGTGCTTTAATATTCACTATACTGAGTACCATTCAGGTTTACTCTCTTCCATTATGCTATAACTGAAATGGTTTACCCTTGTGTTTAGATGTTTGGTCAAGTGATATATATGTCTTAAGGATGTAATGGTTTTTGTTTACAATATTCAGTGGACTCCAGAAGGTAGAAGATTGGTGACTGGCGCATCAAGTGGCGAATTTACATTGTGGAATGGTCTCACATTCAGCTTTGAAACTATTTTACAGGTGGGTTCTCTTATATTTTTATTTTATTGACAGCATGTTTGAATTTAATTTGAAAAATTCAGCTGTGATCATATTCATGAAATAAGTAGTTACTGGTTAGTTTTTTTACTCAAAGTAAGACTTATATCAAACTATGAATATAATTTCAAAGGAGTGCACAGAATTTTCTGTGTACTATAGATAGTGCATGATGATCTATTCAACATTTAAGAGAGGAAAAAACCGGGACTAGGTTTTGGTTTATTCATTTGTGCATGGAGTTCATGTGTCAGTTTTATACTCCAGTCAGATGAATATCTAATTGTACATGCATGGGTGAAAGTTTGAAGTTAATGATTTTCAGTCTCCCTGAAAGCCTTCTATTTCCTATGTAAAACTATAGAAAAACTGCTTAATTCAGGATTTTTAGGATTTTCAAGATTTCCAACTTTTACCCATGTACATGTTATTGCAAACAAGTGAACATGATGTCCGATGCAAAGTCAGCAAGTTAAGTAACTTTGATAAATTGCACCATTTTGTGTGTTTAATTTGACTGCCTTATTAATGAATGTATTGACTGTAACCCTATGAAAATAATAACTGTATGAAAATGGAAAAAGTTGACTTCTCAAAGAAGTGACATTAATTTAAGTCAGATTGCATGTGTCTTTAAGCTGGCAAATCTTTAAACTAGTAACTAAAACCACAGGCATTCAGGTAGTGGATTAATACAATATTTAACTTTTGGATAAAAGAATTGAAATTATGTCTGACTATATAAACAAACATTATTTCAGTGGTATATGGTTCTGTTTCAATTATTCATATTTCTGTAAAATCTGTCTTGTTGGAAGATCTACACAATTCTGGTAGTTATAAGGATGTTTAAACTGAAATTTTTATCTTTGTTTAAATACTGCTTGCTTCATGTAATATTTCTTTCTTCTGAAAACTGTTTATTTTAAGTCCCTTTAAGTTCCATTATGAGAATTGATCTATTTACTTAAATCTTACTTTAATAGAATGATTAGAATGCTCTGTTCTGTTTAATAATAGTCATTATTTCTTTCCAGATCTGGAGCATTTTGGTATGAAAAATAATCTGTGGTGCTCAGCTAGCATCTTTTTGCTTCTCTTTCAGATTTTGTTTTTTTTTGCAGACAATGATAATATGTTGTTTAGTGTGAATTATTCTAGTTTGTACAATATTTTCATTATTCTAATTGTCTACCAGGCTCATGAAACATCGGTGCGGGCAATGGTGTGGAGTCACAATGACCAGTGGATGTTGACGGCAGATCATGCAGGCTTCATCAAGTACTGGCAGTCCAACATGAATAATGTGAAAATGTACCAGGGACATAAAGAACCTATACGGTCCATCAGGTGGGATATAGCGCCCCCTAGTGGGCAATATCAGCATTGCAGTAAGGTTTATGTAACTTTACCAGTGAAATGTGTGAAACATACGTCAGCACCAGGTAATTACAGCATAGTAATGTTATTTCTGGCGGCCATACTGGTTATGATAAATAGGCTAACTACTGAGATAGTTTTGGAAAATTTCTTCTATTTGACACAGACATTTCATAATGTGGATATCACATGAAAAGCTTAACACCAGTTGCATGGAAATTTTCTTCTATTTGATAAATTCTATGCTCTGTCACTAAATGATAATAACTTCAAGCTATGCTGTACTACCTCTTGTTGGCCTATGTTTCTAGAAGTGCCTTATTATCTAGTTATAGTTTTGATACTGTGCCATAAAGGCTAAATTGTGGGTGTATTTTTGTGCCATAAAGGCTAAGCTATGGGTGTAATTCTTTTGCCATAAAGGCTATTACACTGTATCTTAACTGTATCTTTACTGCAATTTTCATGCCATAAAGGCTTACAATTTCAATAAGCCATAAAGGCTGACGTAATAAATATTTGCCATAAAGGCAGATATATAACTTGTATTTTAAACATTTTCTCAGTAATTTGTTAATATGAGTATAAATTTTGATGATAATAATAAAATAATTATTAAAAATGATTCTTTATATAAAATTTTGATTTTAAGGGAAAGATTTTTCAAATAAAGGTGCTAAAGCAATTCCTATTGCTTTGTTATTTTTTATCAAATATTAACGGACATTTCCAAAAGAAATTCAAATAGTTAGACACCCAGAATGCAGTAATTTCCATCGTAGCATGCAATCATACGAATTTGTTTATATTCAATAGTATATTGAAATAATGGCTCCACAGAAAAGAAATAGAGTTTCATATATTTATATGTATATTGGAAATCTAAGAATTCTTGTAGCAATTTATTTATTCAGTTTTGGACTTATCATTGAATTAGTGGCCAAAATAGAAATTCAGCAATAAATTCTGTCAAAAAATACATGTAATTGTATAAGTATGGAAGAAATTTGTGGTGAATGATCGCTGCCTTAGTATTCTAAGGTCATTTACTTGTTTGTCCATTATGTTACTTATAAAACATAGTTTCCATATAGACAAATAGGATAATTATCATTTAGAAAATTAAATAGGAAAAGACTTTTTGTGCTATACATGTATAGTCTTCAAAGATAAAAAGAATTTATGACGAATGATAGGTGTTCAAAGTGAAATTTGAAATAATTGCACGAAATGATTTGGCAAGTTTTCACACGCCAACTAAAGGTTTGAATTTTGTCACAGATTTTGTATTCTCTCATTTGACAAACTTGACGAGATACTTAATGACAGGTTGATGGTTCTATGCAGGTGTCCACTTCACTTGAACAAATGCATTTTGAGTCCCTTGAAGTCATTCTTCTAAAAGTTCTTTAGTTTAACTGAAGATCACTTAATTACCTTTACAGTGTGTGAGTGATATATGACACAAAAAGAGATAATGAATCAGAGAAGAAAAACTTACTGAGGATAAGATGATTTGAGCGGTGTCATGACAAAACCAACATAATGGGTTTGCGACCAGCATGGATCCAGACCAGCCTGTGCATCCGCGCAGTCTGATCAGGATCCATGCTGTTCGCTTACAAACTCTATTACAAGTAGAGAAACTGATAGCGAACAGCATGGATCCTGATCACACTGTGCAGATGCACAGGCTGGTCTGGATCAGTGCTGGTCGCTAACCCGTTATGTTGGTTTTGCCGTGACACAGCTCATTTATCATTATAAAAAAAACAAACAAGAAAAAGTCAATTGATATCTCATTTTCAAAACTATTATTTCAGAGAATATAGCATGAAAAAGAAATGTTGAACTTTTAAAAGATCAAGAGAGAGAGAGAGAGAAAAATGAGAGTACTTCCATTGGGATCAGACTATAGTCCCTTTATGATGATTTATTTCATCAAACATGGGAACAATTTTTTTAGTTAAAAGATGTGCTATGCTCATCTTGGGGTAAAGAATTTCTATTGCTGAAATTCTTATTTTAAGTATTACTAATGTAAATAAGAGAATGTTACTGACTATGTTTTATTGGTCCTTTCTTAAAAAAAGTACCAGATGTTTTAATGACACTACATATTTATGCTGTGTTTACCTAAAGTGTGTCAATTTTAAAACATAACATATCTCTATGTGTAAAAGGTTGTTTAGTTATTATTATTTTCAAGTATCAAATTTGAGCATAATATACCTTAAAACTTGTTTATTGGGCCCTTTGAAATCAAAAGATTTGGATTCAACACAAATGCTGCCATAGTCCCCATTTAGGGAAAGAACTGAAGACAAATAGTCAGTAAACAATAAATGGGATTCGACCACTACCTTAAATAAAGGCATTTACCATAAAGAGATAGGGCTTTTAGCCCATTTACATTTATGATAAAGAAATAAAGGCATTTAGCCTATTTACATTTATTATAAAGAAATAAAGGCATTTAGCCCATTTTCTTTCAGAGTTGACACTTAGCCCATTTACCATAAAGAAACACAGGCATTTAGCCCATTTACCATAAAGAAATACAGACATTTAGCCCATTTTCCTTGAAGAAAGTAAGGCACATTTCTTAAAGAAAATGCACATAGCCAATTTTCCAATAAAGAGATAAAGGCATTTTGCCCTTTTACCATAAAGAACAATGGTACTTATCCCATTTACCTTAAAAAGTTAATCCATTTGCTTTAAAGAAATAAAAGCACTTAGCCCTTCACCATAAAAATGAATTCTCATTTTCATAAAGAAGTAACAACATTCAATTTATTTGATCCAAAAAAGGTATATAGCCCTAGTAGCTGTAAATAAATAAAGGCATTTAGCCTATTAACCATAAAGAAATTAAGGTATGAAAAAAAAAAAAACAACTCTGTTTGTGAATATACTGTAAAAAAGGGTATTGTGTCCATTAACCATAAAGAAATAAAGGCATTTAGCCTATTTACAATGAAATGGAGAAACTTCCTCCATTTATTATGAATAAAGGCATTTAGCCAATTTACCACAAAGAAATAAAGGCATTTAGCCACTTGACCATAAAGAAATAAAGGCACTTAGCCCATTGGCAAAAAATGGAGGAGCCAAATAATTATGAATAATTAACCATATTATATAACCATATATAACCATGATTAACCATATTAACCATAATTAATAAAAGAACTTAGCCCATTTACAATAAAATGGAGGAATTTAGCCAAAGGATGATGAATACAGACACTTACCCATTTAAAATGAAATGGAGGAATTTGGTCTATTTACTATAAAATAAAGGCATTTAGTCCATTTACCATAAAGAAACAAAGGCACTTAGCCCATTTGTCATAAAGAAATTAAGTCACTTAGCCCATTTATCTTACAGAAATAAAGGCACTTAGCCCATTTGTCATATAGTAATAAAGCACTTGGCCCATTTATCATAAAGAAATAAAGTCTTTTAGCCCACTGATCATAAAGAAATAAAGGCTCTATACTCATTTTTCATATAGAAATAAAGGCACTTAGCCCATTTATCATATTGAAATGAAGGTCTATCATATGGAAATAAAGGCACTTAGCCCATTTATGATAAAGAAATAAAGGCACTTAGCCCAATTATCTTATAGAAAAAAGGGCACTTAGCCCATTTATCATATTGAAATAAAAGTATTCTATCATATGGAAATAAAGGCACTTAGCCCATTTATCATATTGAAATAAAAGAATTTATCTTATAGAAATAAAGGCACTTAGCCCATTTATGATTAGAAATAAAGGCACTTAGCCCTTTTATCATATTGAAATAAAAATAAAGAAATAAAGGCACTTAGCCCATTTATGATAAAGAAATAAAGGCACTTAGCCCATTTATCATATTGAAATAAAAGAATCTATCTTATAGAAATAAAGGCACTTGGCCCATTTGTCATATGGAAATAAAGGAATCTATCATATGGAAATTTAGTAACTTAGCCCATTTATGATAAAGAAATAAAGGCACTTAGCCCATTTATCATATTGAAATAAAAGAATCTATCTCATAGAAATAAAGGCACTTAGCTTATTATCTTATAGAAATAAAGGCACTTTCTCCGTCGTCTGTCTGTCCGTCTGTCTGTCCATCCGTCCGTCACAAAACTTGTCCGGACTACCCCTCATAAACTACTGGTGCAATTTCATCCAAACTTTACAGGAATGATCAGTACCAAGTCTAGTTGTGCATATTGTCAGCATTTTCCGGTTCAATGATTTTTGTCAGAGTTATGGCCCTTTAATAATTTTAAAGTTTGTCCGGACTACTTCTCTTATACCACTAATGCAATTTCAATGAAACTTTACAGGATTGATCTATAGCTCAAGTCCTTGCGCATATTGCACGGGTTTTCCGGTTGAATGATTTTTGGCCGAGTTATGGCCCTTTGATAAAAAGGTTTTTTTTCTGTGTGTTGCCAGATACACAAAAGCTTGTCCGGACTACTCCTCATAAACTACTGGTGCAATTTCATCCAAACTTTACAGGAATGATCAATACCAAGTCAAGTTGTGCATATTGTCAGCATTTTCCGGTTCAATGATTTTTGTTTGAGTTATGGCCCTTTAATAATTTTTTTTTTAAAGTTTGTCCTGACTACTTCTCTTATACCACTCATGTAATTTCAATGAAACTTTACAGGATTGATCTGTAGCTCAAGTCCTTGCGCATATTGCACAGGTTTTCCGGTTGAATGATTTTTGGCCGAGTTATGGCCCTTTGATAAAAAGGTGTTTTTTTTCTGTGTGTTGCCAGATACGCAAAAGCTTGTCCGGACTACTCATCATAAACTACTGGTGCAATTTTATCCAAACTTTACAGAAATGATCAGTACCAAGTCTAGTTGTGCACTGTCCGTCTGTCTGTCCGTCTGTCACAAAATTTGTCCCAACATGAAATTGGCCATCATGAGGCGGCGACACATGTGATTACTGATCGCTCTTGTCATATTGAAATAAAGGAATGTATCATATGGAAATAAAGGCACCTAGCCCATTTATGATAAAGAAGTAAAGGCACCTAGCCCATTTATCATGATATTCCTTGTTCATTGAAGAAGAAAAAGGTGTTGAGCCCTTTGGCAAGATGAAATAAAGATTGTTTTATTTTATAAATATGTTTGGTTTCTCTGATATCACAAGAAATCTTGCCACATGACTTGCAATAAAGTCTGATCAAGTAAATGCATTTTATCTGTTAAAAATGTTTTTGTTCCTTTATTAAAAATGGGAAGTTTATGATGTAGAAAATATATACAATTTTCTAGTAATAAAGGCACATAGCCCAAATATATTTTGTGTTTATGACATTTCTACTTCTTTTATTTCTTATTATACCATATTTCTGCTAATAATAAAGTTGATGTCATCCTCAAGATGAAGTGAGGCGCAGTAGTGGTACCAGTGATGCAGCGGTGTCGAGAGAAACAGATTTTTTCTTATTATCTACATTAATATACATTGATGCTTGTTAATCATAGATTTATTTTCAGAAATAAAGAAAACCTGCTTATTGTCTTGTTTCTGCTCTTTTTCACCCACACAGTTTTTGTCCAACTGATTCCAAGTTTGCCACATGTTCTGACGATGGCACTGTGAGAGTTTGGGACTTTTTACGATGTTATGAGGAGAAAATATTAAGAGGTATGCCTTTCCTGATTAAAATTGCTAAGAAACTGCCAAGTTTATTAATTGAGCAATGCCACGACAAAACCAACATAATGGGTTTGCGACCAGCATGGATCCAGACCAGCCTGCGCATCCTCGCAGTCTGATCAGGATCCATGCTGTTCGCTTACCAACTCTATTACAAGTAGATTAACTGATAGCAAACAGCATGGATCCTGATCAGACTGTGCAGATGCGCAGGCTAGTCTGGATCCATGCTGGTCGCAAACCCATTATTATGTTGGTTTTGTTGTGACGCGGCTCAATTGACGTTGAAACTGAACTTGATGCTCTGACATATATACTAAGAGACAGTATTTCAGATACCAGATACATAACAATGGTGTACTGAGAAATACTTAGGTGTACTTGCATTGGAAATGCCAATTGTGTGTGTATACACAGACATGATAACTGACGCATTATATATATGTAACTGATATTTGGGATATATTGAGGTCTGGAGTTCATGTGTATAGCAATTAGCTCAGCTCAAGCTGAAGTGTATTGTCTCAATCACATTAATGACAGACCATCCTTAATACTGCATTTACACACATATTTGGAGACGAACAGTTTTATGCCCCAACCATTATAATGGCAAAGGGGCATAAATTTTACACCTCTGTCTGTCGGTATGTGCCTGTGTTGGTAAACATTGTCCAGTCCGTATCTCAGTCATGCGTCAAGGGATTTTAAAACAATTGTGCACTAATATGTGGCATGATGAGACCCATAGCTCCAGGGTTAAGGTCACAATTAGAGGTCAAAGTCACTGTTTAATGCAGCAAGGGATTTTGAAACAATTTATCACAAATTTTGAGAAGATGAGGCGGTGTGTCATGGGCAAGACCTATACCCATAGTTTCAGGTCAAGGTCATATTTAGAGATCAAAGGTCAGCAGTAAGAAAATCTTATCCGGCTCATAGGTCTGTCTTGCAGTAAGGGATTTTAATATAGCTTAGCACAAATGTGTAGCATGATGAGAGTGTGTCATGCGTAAGAACAAGACCTTCTAGGTCAAGGTCACACTGCTGTTTATTTGGTCTATAACTCTGTCACGCATCAAGGGATTTTGAAGTCAATTGGCAAATCAATTGTTAAGCATGATGATTCCTTTCCTTAGTGGTATTTCACTTATCATATTGTCTTAACAAAAGAAACTAAAAAAGTTTTGTTCTTGTAACCCCTGAATTTTTCTATTATTGACTGAAGCTTTGTAATTAAATGGATATTTTGATACTTGGACAAAACATTTTTAAGCCCCCAAAAGGCGGCATAATAAAATTGCACCTGTCTGTCTGTGCGTCCCCATTTCATTTCTGCCGAACTGTAACTTTGTCTTACATTGAGGGATTTTGAAATCGCTTGGCAGAAATGTCGACCACATCAAGATGATGTGTGGTATCCAAGAACCATGTCCCTACCTCATAGGTCAAGGTCACACTATCATTTTGAAATTCCACGTTATCACAGAGTTAATAGGTATGTACAAACATTTGTGTCTGGACTTTAACTTTGTCATGCATCAAAGGATTTTAAATAAACTTGGTATAAATGTCAACCACATCATGACGATGTGTCGCGTCCAAAAATCATGTCCCTGGTCACACTAACATTTTGAAGTTTTACTTTATCACAATTAGAGTTAATAGGTTTGTCCGGATTTTTACTTTGTCATGCATTGAAGAGTTTGAAAATTACTTGGCACAAACATTAACGACATCAAGACAATGTGTCACGTCCAAGAATCACATCCCTTCCTCAAAGGTTAAAGTCACCCATTTTCTTGTGACTTTATCATAATTAGAGTTTATAGGTGTACAAATTCATGTTTGGACTGTAACTTTGTCATGCATTGAATAGTTTAAAAATTATTTGGCACAAATGTCTACCACATTATGACAACGTGTTGTGTGTAAGACCCATGTCAAGGGCACTAATAGTTTGAAGGTACTTATGCTCATACTTCGAAGGTACACATTAGTTTCCAAACTGTAACATTGTCATGCATTGAGGGATTTTAAAATAAGTTGGCATAAATGTCTACCACATCAAGATGATGTGTTACATCCAAGACCCATGTCCTAAGGTGGTAAGTTTGCTATAAATAGCACTTTACAAGAACAATATTAAGTAATTTGTTACTTTCGTTCTCTTTTCTTTTCATAATACCTTTCTACCAATGCTTAAGTAACCTTTTAAAAAAGGAGGCAATTGTCAATTTTTCATGACAGCTTTTGGTTTTTAACAAGACCATTTACAAGGTCGAACTGGCATTGACTTTGAGTTTTAAATGACCTTAACAGTCCAGGTCAAAGTCCTTAGAATAAGACCTTCATATATACATCAACTCAAATTGACCATGACTCATGACCTTCAAGTTCAAATTATTGAACTTTTACTGATTTAAGCTATAATTGGCTGTAACTTTGTAATTTAATAATGAATTATCTTTATACTTAGACAGAATAATCCTCTAAGGTTGAACTGACCTTGACCTTGAGCTTTAAATGATCTTGACTGCAAAGGTCAAATTATTGAATTTTGGTAAAGTTGTATAATTTTGTTATGTATATACATCTTTTTTTGGACAAAATGATACTTGTGACTAAGGCCCCCACAATTACACGTTTAAACCGATTCGTTTCGATTTTCATTCGTAAACATTTACGATATTTTTTACCGTTTAAACGAAATGACCATATTATCTTACATAATTTCTTAATCATTGCCTGTAATCATGGATTTTATCAATTCTTGTGGTTTATTCCAAAGTAAAAACGGAAAATGGGTGTTTACAACCCTTCACACAGCATTACCGTGCTAAAAATGCTCATGACACAATACATTTTTGGTAGAAAATGGGGATAAAATGCAAAAAATGTGTGCTGACACAATCGTGATAAGCCCTGAACATGCTTTATTTGTACATGTATTAAAAATAAAAAAGTAAATCATCATTTGGCGACTCGAATACATGGTGTATATAGTACATAGAGGTACCACCGTTTAAACGCAATCGTTTCGGTTCTTAAAATTGTAAACTTGAGAGCCTTACTTGTGACCAGATGGACATATTGAATAATAAGATATGATCTTTAAATGACCTTTACTGTCTAGGTCAAATGATTGAATTTTGCTTATATTTCCTTCAATTTGTCATTTATTCGAGGAAAAGATTTTTACTTGAACAAAACAACAAGTGTGACTAGTGAGACCTTTATTTGTTTGCTTTTGACATGAAGAAGTCACATGTTGTCCCCACCTGGTGGTGGCTCTTGTTATTATGACTTAACCTTTACATAAATTTTAACAAATTTAATGGAAATCAATTAACACCAGTCTACTCTAATTTTTATACCCCCAAAAACGAAGTTTTGGGGGGTATATAGGAGTCACCCGGTGGTCGGTTGGTCGGTCCAGACGTCTGTTGCATTTTCTTTGTCCGGAGCATAACTTGAAGACTAATGATTGGAATTCAATATAACTACATACAATGGTCAAGCACATTGAGAAGAAGTGCTGTGCACAAGAACCATAACTCTATCTTGACTAATTACTGAGTTATTGCCCTTTGTTACTTTTCCTTGTCCGGGGCATAACTTGAAAACTACTGGTTGGAATTAATAACAACTTAATACAATTGTCAAACACAATAAGGGGAAGTGCAGTGCACAAGAACCATAACTCTATCTAAAGAAATTACAGAGTTTTTGCCTTTTGTTACTTTTCCATTGCTTTCTTTTGTCCGCACCATAACTTGAAGACTTATGGTTGGAATTCGTTATAACTTTATACAATGTTCAAGCACATTGAGAGAAAGTGCAGTGCACAAGAACCATAACTCTATCTTGACTAATTACAGAGTTATTGCCCTTTGTTACTTTTCCTTGTCCGGGGCATAACATGAAAACTACGGGTTGGAATTAAAAACAACTTCATACAAGAAGTGCAGTGCATAAGAACCATAACTCTATCTAAAGTAATTACAGAGTTATTGCCCTTTGTTTCTTTTCCATTGCATTCTTTTGTCCGGACCATAACTTGAAGACTAATCGTTGAAATTCATTGTAACTTCATACAATGGTCAAGCACAATGAGAGGAAGTGCAGTGCTCAAGAACCATAACTCTATCTTGACTTATTACAGAGTTACTGCCCTTTGTTACTTTTCCTTGTCCAGAGCATGACATGAAAACTACTGGTTTGAATTCAAAACAACTTCATATAATGGTCAAGCACAATAAGGGGAAGTTCAGTGCACAAGAACCTTAACTCCATCTTGACTAATTACAGAGTTATTGCCCTTTGTAACTTTTCGATTGCTTTTATTGTCCGGAGCATAACTTGAAGACTAATGGTTGGAATTCAATATAACTTCATACAATGGCCAAGCACATTGAGAGGAAGTGCAGTGCACAAGAACCATAACTCCATTTTGTCTTATTACAGAGTTATTGCCCTTTGTTACCTTTCCTTGTCCAGAGCATAACTTGAAAACTACTGTTTGGAATTAATACAACTTCATACAGTTGTCAAGGACATTAAAAGGAAGTGCACTGCACAAGAGCCATAACTCCATTTTGACAATATACAGAGTTAATGCCCTTTGATACTTTTCCTTGTCCGGAGCATAACTTAAAAGGTACTGGTTGGAATTCAAAACAACTTCATACAATGGTCAAGCACAATAAGAGGAAGTGCAGTGCACAAAAACTATAACTCCATCTTCAGTATTTATAGAGTTATTGCCCTTTGTTCCTTTTCCTTGTCTTTTTGGACTTATTACAGAGTAATTCAATAAAACTTCATCAATGCCCAACCACATTGAAAGGAAATGCAACATACAAGAACCACAACTATCTTTAATTGCCCACAACCATAACTCTATATTTCAATTCTTTAACAAGGTATTCTGTTACTAGTAACATCCTCATTTCCGAAGCAGTCTTGTGGGGGTATTAATCACATTTTGTGATAGTTCTAGTTTATTTCAAAGTAAAACGTGAATGATTAAAGGTTAAAATGTGTACTCATTATAGACTTATCAAGTCTCTGGCATAGTTCAACTCTTATAATACCTAGAAATGCATCAGTACTAGGGATACAGTAGTTAGGTACCAGTACTAACCAACAGTATTAGTACTAGATTTTGGTTCAATACTGCAGTACCAATGCTTGTATTTTGGAAGTAACAAAGTACAGTATTTTCATATACTTGTCATGGTGAGCATAAAGACACAGTGTTTATAAATACAGCATGTGTAGTTGTGCACCTGGGTATTTTTGTCTGGATATTTTTAGTATTTTTAGAGTTACTGCCCTTGACTTAGTAAAATTTTGCAATTTTCAACTTGTGTCGCATGTAACTAAAAATATATTTGACCTAGAGTCATGAAACTTTACAGGAATGTTGATCAGCATGTGTAGCCTAGAGTCATGAAACTTTACAGGAATGTTAATCAGCATGTGTAGTTGTGCATCTGGGTATTTTCGTCTGGATATTTTTAGTATTTATAGAGTTATTGCCCTTGACTTAGTAAAATTTTGCAATTTTCAACTTATGTCGCATGTAACTCAAAAAGGATTTGACATAGAGTAATTAAACCTTACAGGAAGGTTGCTCAGCATATTTAGTTTTGCGCCTGGGGTTTGGCTTGTGAATTTATACAGTATTTGTAGAGTTATTGCCCTTGACTTAGTAAAAACTGTTTTATTATGTTGTTATTTGTTCCTTGAGTGCTTGAGTTAGAATCAACCACCTTTACCGGAATAATGATCAACATCACTAAATTACAGGAATAATGATTCACATCACTGTGAAGCTATGAATCTGGGACTTAGCATGTGGATTTTTTTCATTTTTGTAAGAGTTATTGCCCTTGACTTACAGTAGTATAAATTAAATTTGCAAATTTCAACTTGTTCATGCATAGCTCAAAAAGTATTTCACTTGTAGGCCTGAAAGTTTACAATAATGTTGGTCAGCATGAGTACTTATGCACCTTGGGGTTTGCTTGTTGATTTATTCAGTATTTGTAAAGTACTTGCCTTTTACTTAGTAAAAGATTTTTAGTTTTCAAAAAATATTTGACCTGGCGTCATAAGATTGACAGAACAGTGGACACATTTCTAGTTTTGTATTTCTTTTCACTGAATTGAGGTTAAATTTTATTTGAAATTCAGTCATTTCATATTCAAAAATACAGCTGATTGACTGCTTATTATTTCACAGGCCACTCAGGCTTGTTACTTGTGGGCAATTCTATTGGCATGTCACCAAGGGCTAACTGGCTAGTTCTAAAATACTAGCCTGTACAGGTACTTTCCGGGTAACTTGAAGCTTAAATTCACTCAAATAGACCATAATGCATCGAAAATAAAGACAACCCCACAATTAAGACCACTTTAGTTAATTATCCTTGGTGGTTCATTATCGTTGGTGGTCTAAATAGAGGGTTTGTATAATTTTATATGTAAAATAAGTGTCTATTCTAGGAGGGGGGATGGGGAGATTCACTCATTTTTTTTTGAGAATTGTCCCCCCCCCCCCTTTCTTTTTTCAGAGACAGGGTAAAATTTACATAGAGAAAGAAGGAAAGAAATTACAAATGTAATAAATTCTCACTTTTCTATATAAATTCCCCCTGTTTTCAAACCTTAGAATAGACACTGTACAATAGAATGCTGTGATAGTGTAAGAGAAAGAGTTATAATGTAATTTAGGTCATGGTGCCGATGTGAAGTGCGTGGACTGGCATCCACAGAAGTCATTGATAGCATCTGGAAGTAAAGATAACCAAGTACCAATCAAACTCTGGGATCCAAAGTCAGGACAAAGTTTAGCTACATTGTAAGTGCAGGTTTGATGAATTTAAGTACAATGTAATAACCTTTAAGCCAGGACAAAGTTGAGCTTCTTTGTAAGTGAAGGTTTGATGAATTTAAGTAATAACCCTTAAGCCAGGACAAAGTTGAGCTACTTTGTAAGTGAAGGTTTGATGAATTTAAGTAATAACCCTTAAGCCAGGACAAAGTTGAGCTACTTTGTAAGTGAAGGTTTGATGAATTTAAGTAATAACCCTTAAGTCAGGACAAAGTTTAGCTACATTGTGAGTGAATGTTTGATGAATTTAAGTTATAACCAATAAGTCAGGACAAAGTTTAGCTACTTTGTAAGTGAATGTTTGATGAATTTAATTCATAACCAATAAGTCAGGACAAAGTTTAGCTACAATGTAAGTGCAGTGTTGATGAATTTAAGTTATCACCCTTAAGTCAGGACAAAGTTTCAGTTCATTTTAATTGCAGGTTTAATGAATTTAAGTAGTAAATTTAACCCTGCTGGAACCAAAGTTGATTAAGCTATGACGCCAGTAAAGAGCTAGGCAATTATGAGCAAAACTATGTCACAAATTCAGAAGGTTAAGGGTTAACATCTTAAACTTACATTGTGTAAAGCATGGTATTTATTGCATTCAAAACTTAGTTAGCTTACAATATAGTATGAAAAGCAAAAATCTTCCAAATGAACCAACTGATCAAAATCATTGAGAGGCTGTTTACATATTCTTGAATATTATTTTTGATCAACCATGATGAATAAAAAACACTTGTCTCTGTAGAATGGAAGTATTATTATAAACATGCTATCAACCAAAGCAAATAAATGCTTAAAGTATAGTATTTCCATAGAATAGTATGCTTTTTTACATGTTTGGTAACCAATGTCATAGCAAAATTCTAACGGTAATGAATTTTTTACATATAATAATCTGGAAAATGTGTTCAACACAACAACAGTTTCTTTTTAAATAAATAAGTACATGTAACTTTTGTTTTCTAGACATGCTCATAAATTCACTGTGATGGACATAAAGTGGAATCAGAATGGTAACTGGTTATTAACGGCAGCTAGAGATCATCTTATGAAGTTATTTGATATTAGAAATCTCAAAGAAGAACTTCAGGTGTTTAAAGGTCACAAGAAGGAAGCTACAGGTATATTGACGTGGTGTATTTGTTATGAACAAGGTTTTCCTAAACTTACAGCTTGCTCTGGATTGCCAAGAATTGCTTCAAACCACTTGAGCCGTGTCATGACAAAACCAACATAATGGGTGTGCGATCAGCAGTCTGATCAGGATCCATGCTGTTTGCTTACCAACCCTATTACATGTAGAGAAACTGATAGCGAACAGCATGGATCCTGATCAGACTGCGCGGATGCGCAGGCTGGTCTGGATCCATGCTGGTTGCAAACCCACTATGTTGGTTTTGTCATGACACACCTCACTTGTCCCTCACTGCTGGAGGTGTGAATCCCACCAGGGACTTTGCATACTTGCATGTGAGGAAACTATCCTACAGAATGTTGGTGATTCTACTCAGAGCCATGCTTGTGCTTTAGGTCTTCCTTTACCACTAAAGCTGGAAAGATGCTTGATGACCTCTATTGTGTTGATGTAAAACCAAACCAAAAAAAATAATTGAGCCGTGTCACGACAAAACCAACATAATGCGTTTGCGACCAGCATGGATGCAGACCAGCCTGCGCATCTGTACAGTCTGATCAGTATTCATGTTGTTCGCTATCAGTTTCTCTACATGTAAAAGGGTTGGTAAGCGAACAGCATGGATCCTGATCAGACTGCGCGGATGCTGGGTGGATCCATGCTGGTCGCAAACCCATTATGTTGGTTTTGTTGTGACACGGCTCCTTTATCTATGATTGCCTTGTTAACCCTTTACCACATATATATGCGAAACAACGCACTTTCGACCCCCCCCCCCCCCCCCCCCCTTTTTTAGGCCTCAAATAGTGAAAAAATGTCCTATTTGGGTCCTCAACATAAGTTTTCGTTTGAGAAATGTTGCTAAAAAAATTGAGCACTTTTTCGGCGCCGCCCCCCATCCAAAAGATACATCAGGGGGTTGCCAGAAGGGGGATGTGCGCCAAGAAAATTTTGGACTTGTGAGAGGCTAAAAATGACCCCAGGTCGATCATAATGTAACGTTTAACAAACGCTGAAAAGCCTTTGACTCTATCTCAATCCCTTGAGCAGTTACAGCACTTTGAAATAAATTTTGATGGAAAAAATCGAGGCAAAATAGTGATTTTTGGCAATTTTGAGATGTCCCCTCGTTGCCATGATAACAGGAAATTTAAGACTGAGCATGTCGTTACAAAGGCAATGGTCCAGTCAACATTTGTGCCAAGTTTGATTAGTATTGAAGCATTTTTCATAGTTTCATAGCAGTTTGAACTTGTATCAGGAGGCTTTTCAGTGAAAACGGCCATTTTTCACAATATGCTCATGGGGGAAAGGGTTAACTAAAAAAATTATAAATGTTACAAAACAACAATTTTTCACCAAAATTAGGTGAAAGACCACATGTGAACATGGAAAAACTAGTTTTTAGGTGATTCCAAAGTTTTTCATCATTTTTTGTTAAATCCCCTCTTAAAGTGTACTTGTGAAATTCATTTGTTGATTGTAAATCATAACAAAATTAAACTGCAAAATTCAGCTTGAAAGGTTATAAGTTATTGTTGAAAAATATTTGTTATCCATTTGAATTTGATGTGTTTTCATGGTGTCTAAGCCTTTAAGGGATATTACACAAGATAATTTAGATTGATATACCTGTAGATTATATTCTATACTTTATTGATATTACAGCTGTGGCATGGCATCCAATCAATGAGCAGATGTTTGCCAGTGGAGGATCGGACGGTGCAATCATGTTCTGGAATGCTGGGTAAATAATTACTAAAAAAAAGTTAGAGGCCTCCATGGCTTATGGATGTTTAGGTTACTGAGTTTTAATCCCTTATTCTTACTGCCTAGGATATGCAGTCACTAGCTGCTGAGGACATGAATCTTGCAACCTCTTTAAGATTACAGTTTGGTTTGTGGTTCTACTTTGGGGCCTCTTTGTGCTTTATATAATTCATGAAGGATGCAAGATAATATGAATGCAGTATAATAAACTGATAATAATAATAATGTTTTATAGGACAGAGAAAGAGGTAGGAGCTATTGAGGAAGCACATGAAGCAATCATCTGGGACTTGGCCTGGCACCCACTTGGTCATATACTCACATCTGCCTCTAACGATCATTCTACGTAAGTTCATCGTTTTCTGGTACAACAAATGTTTTCACTTACATGTTGATATAAATTAACAGAAATTGTCATGTCAGTGACAGTAAAAAATTGATTGTAAATTTGCCACTTATTGGTAGGAAGTTGCTTTATTTCAAATTCAATTGTCTTATCCTGTTTTGACTGCAGGTCTTTATTTGTTTTTTAAAAAAATATAGTTTGAAATTGAGGTAGACTTGAAAAACATTGTTCACAAAAAGCAAGAAAAACAAAATGGTTATAGTTGATACAAATTTATTTTAGTTCAATTGTATTGGAAGCTATAAGCTTATAGAAACACTCTCGAGTATGTTCCTGTAACCAACCAGTACTAAGCCATGAATGTAAAGTTTCTTGCTCAAGGAAACAACGGCCTGCCTCTGACTGGGTTTGAACCCACGCGGTCAGCAATCCTTAGATTTCTAGTCCAACTTTTAATCACTCGGCCACGCTGCTAAAATGGTTTTATGTCTGGACAGGTGTTAGAGTGTCATAAATTTTTATTGTGAGTACTGTATATACTTAAGTGATGTAATTTTTATATGAAGGTCAAGTTAGTAAGATGTTAAGAATCTTGTTTTCAGGAAATTTTGGACACGTAATCGACCAGGTGATGCTATGAGAGATAAATACAACCTGAACATAATGGCATATGGTCCTGATGGGGAGATTATTGATATAGGTAAGTGAACCTCTCTGCTGAGGGTTCGAATCTCAGTGCAGGCTTGAGGAAACTGTCCAGCTAGTTGATGGTTCTACTTGGGTGCTTACTCATGCCTGAAATAATGAATACATGTATTAACTTTTGTTCATTATGAGAAGTAAAGTTTGTTGACAAACACTTAAATTTTTTGTAATGCAAGGCAACAAATAACAGGGATTAGCTCAGTGGAAAACTTGAAACAATTTTCAGAGCTATGGAAATAATAACTGATATTTACTCTCTTGTTGTGAAACAGGTGTAGTCGCAGAGGAAGACATTTCTTGCAACATATTTGAAATGGAAAACTATACAGTTGTAATCACCATTTTGCGTCAGCTTTTGTTAAATAATGTGCTAAGAAGCTTCAAGTTACAAGAAAATGGGAAATGTTTTCATTGTAACTTGAAATCCATGAACTCATAATGTTTCCTGTCTGTGATAGAAACAGGTCGCTGTAAGGCGAAGAAAGGAAAAAAAATCTTAAAGGCACATTATGCCTCAGAAACAAATAAATGTTTACTTCTTAACCTTTTCCCTCATATAAGCGTGTTACGACAGCTTTCCCCCCCCCCCCCCCTTTTTGAGGCCTCAAACAGTAAAAAAATGTCCTATTTAGGCCTCAAACACTAGTTTTCGTTTAGAAATGTTGTTAAAAAAAAAGCGACCACTTTTTCGGCGCCGTCCCCCATCCAAATGTTACATCAGGGGGTTGCAAGAAGGGGGATGTGCCCAGGGCTCCAGATAATTTTTTGGGGCAATGAGTATTTACTCATTGATTTTTTTGTGAATGAGTAAAACTTGAAATCTGAAATTTGACAGGAGTATTTTTACTCCTTCAAATGTATGTAAAAGAGTAAACGATTTATTATGCTTCCATGTTTATTGTATTATTATACGTGTAATACAAGATATGTCAAAGTCATTTCTTTTGCTTTTTGACTCTCTTGGTTTATAATGTTGCATTTCCAAACGGCATACGTTTTATCTAAACCTGAGGCATGTTTCTGTTGCTCATACGTGGCAGCGCTATTATTTCACAATTACTTTTGGGTCGATTTTTTTCGGCTAAAAATACGAGACAATCGTTTTAACTTTTGACAGCGACATTGTACCGGTTAATTCCACCACCTTACTATACATACGCTAACGACCGATGATAGTCGGAACTACAGGAAGTTACCGTTAGACGTTGCAAAGCATTCATACGAAGTTAATGCCACCACCATACTATGCATACGATAACAACCGATGATGGTCAGAAATACAGGAAGTTACCGGTAGACGCTTGCAAAGCGTTCAGACGAAATTGAAAATAAAATAATCACCGAGTTTACTTTCGGTACGTTTGCGCGAAAGAAATGTTGCTCAATGCGTAACCTGAATTTTGTGTGCGTTTCATACGCTTTAATTTTGTTTTGAATGCGTAAACGGGTTATTTCCATGCGTAATTTACGCGTATACGCATCTTATCTAGAGCCCTGTGTGCCCCCTTCTGTTTGGGGAGTTTGAATGGGGGCGGAGTCCCCTCATCGCAAAGAAAATTTTAGACATGCGACAGGCTAAAAATGGCCTCAGGTCGATCTTAGGGTAACTAGTAACCAACGCTGAAAAGCCTTTTACTCTATCTCAATTCATTGAGAAGTTGCAGCACTTTGAAATCAGTTTTGATGGAAAAAAACAATGCAAAATAGTGATTTTTGGCAATTTTGAGACGTCCCCCCGTTGCCATGGTAACAGGAAATTTACGATTGAGCATGCTGTTACAGAGGCTATGGTGTAGTCAACATTTGTGCCAAGTTTCATCAGTATTGAAGCATTTTTCATAGTTTCATAGCAGGTTGAACTTGTTACAGGAGGCTTTTTAATGAAAACGGCCATTTTTCGCAATATGCTCATGGGGTAAAAGGTTAAGAAAGGGAAAACAAAAACATGAGTTTTATAACTTTTAAATAATGGTTTAAGAGCATGTTGGATGCTTGTTATCGAAAGTAGTGTTAAATGTGAAATTATTTGTGATGAAAATAGCAGAATGTAAACAAATTGTAGTATCTTGACTTCCATACAAAATACTTTTCACTATAACCAACTACCAAAAAGCGACAGAGGAAAAACATCAGTTCATTATCAAATGAGTTACTTTGTGGAAACTATAATATAAAAGTACAGCAAAATTAAAAATCCTTTTTGTGAAATAAAACATAAAATCATTTCTGGGGCATAATGGGCCTTTATGGTTTGACATATTATGATTGTATATTTCAGATGCTGATGTACCACTGGGGGAAAACAAAAGTTTACTGCCAGGAATGGGACTAGAATTTGGACTACCTCCTGAACCAGAGATAAAACCTGGTAAATTATTTGTCACATAATTCTTTTAGGTTCAATTTATGTATGAAATAGCTTGAACAATTTTATTTGCTGAATTATTTTTCATTTCGAAAAATATTACTGTAGAGCAGTAGACTGCCAAGTGGTTAAGGTTTTTGCCATAAAGTACCATGCCTCCAGATTCATGGTAATTGTGTCGCCTTGAAAAGGTGACATATAGGGGTTACTTTTCCGCGGCGTCTGTGTCGGCGGCGGTGTCCCCTAAAGCTTGTCCGGAGCATAACTCAGTCTCTATAAGTCTGATTGACTTTTTGAGTTATTGCCCTTTGTTAATTTTCATACTTTAATAATTTTGTCCGGGCCATTTCTCTTCAACTAAAAAAGCTATGGACTTGAAACTTCATAGGATAATAGATCTCATTAAGAAGAAGTGCAGTGCACAAGAACCGGTACTCTGCACTTCCTTATTTTTGAGTTATTGCCCTTTGTTAATTTTCATACTTTATTTTTGTCCGGGCTATTGCTCCTAATGTATAAAAGCCATGGACTTGAAACTTCATAGGATGATAGCTCTCATTAAGAAGAAGTGCAGTGCACAAGAACAGTTACTCTGGATTTCTTATTTTTTAAGTTATTGCCCTTTGTTTATTTTCATACTTAATTTTTGTTCAGGCCATTTCTCTGAAAGTATAAAAGTTATGGACTTGAAACTTCATAGGATGATAGATCTCATGAAGAAAAAGTGCAGTGCATAAGAACTGATACTCTGCATTTCTTATTTTTTGAGTTATTGCCCTTTGTTGATTTTCTTACTTTATTTTTGTCCTGGTCATTTCTCCTCAAGTATGAAAGCTATGGACTTGAAACATCATAGAATGATAGATCTTATTGATAAGATGTGCAGTGCACAGAAACTGCTGCTATTTTTCATATTTCATTTTTGTCCTGGCTATTTCTCCTAAACTACATTGTTCACAAGGCGACACATCCGACTCGCGGAGTTCTAGTTTTCATGAAAATTTTGAATTTTTTTTTTTTAAATCAACGAGGTTGAAATATGCAAAAATAGCTCTTACTGTGTTAGTCACATAGTAGAAATATAGTGATAAAATCTGCAAAATTAGTCATTCATCGCACACAACATGTGAATTAATACTTGAATATTTAATTATTTTACTTTTCTTTAAGTATTAGTACAATTTTCTCAGGCTTGATTTTCTTGAAATATTTTTGCTCATCAAGAGGTGTGCAGCTTTAAGTGTTTGTTTGGAGCATAACTTTTTCTACATGTGACACTAGTACCAGTTCATTCTGGGAAGCCTACACAAAAAGTAGTTTAGACAAGCTGCAAGCTTTCTTTACAACTGAGTCAACATGAATTTGATTAAAGAAAACTATTTTCTGTATAGAACCAGTTTGAGTTAACATTACTTTGATTAAAGAAAATATATTTTCTATGTAGAACCAGTGGAGGAGGAATTACCATCTATCCCTGGTCTAGACTGGTCCTCGGATGCTCAGTACTTTAAAGAACAACAAGCCAAAATAGAGGACAGGCAGCCTAGGAAGAAAGCACCTTATTCTAGACCTATCCCGAAAAGTTTTGAACAGGCTTGGATCACCAACCAGCAGCCTGGAACACTCATTAAAGATGGTAAGGAGCAAAGTGTGCGAGTATTTACTAAGTGCTATTTGTTCATTTGCTACAAAACAATATTTAAGAAGTAATTTGAATGTTATTTCCCATTTATGGAGACAAAAATCTCCAACCATTCTGTTTAGGCATTGAACATTGGTTCTGTGTTTTTTGTTTTACGTAGAACTTAGCTGGTAAGCATTGTTTGAAATCTTTTTGACCTTGAGAATCAACTTTTTTTTTGTGACACCTTTAATAACTACAGCAATATTTACATATATTTAACAATTTTCTTTTGAATTTTTAGCTTAGTCTGTTTTGAAGAAAAAGTCAAGCTTTTATGATCACTACAGCATTGTCATCAGGGTCATCCTGCAAAAACTTAAATGTTGCCCATTATTCAAACATTTTATCAACATGAAACTTCGAATGCTTGCTTGCTTGCATAATTCTGAAAGCAATATTTTTCGAGTTATGCCCCTTTTTAATTTAGAAATTTTAAAAGACAAGCTTTAACACATTAAGCAGTTGACGTTGTTCATACTTTGCTTACATGCATTTTCACTTTGATTTCATTGCATACCTATAGGGATACATGTGTATCAAATTGTTTCTGTTACAGTTGAAGGTAAAATGAAGAGAGGTAGAATCCAGTCATTGCTTACACTAGACCTGCCTGCTAAACCTAGAAAAGGTTTGTTTCACACAATAATTATGATTGATTGAATTTTTTTTATATTACAAGCATGTATGAGGGGATGTCTTAAGAAATCATGGACTTTGTTTTAAGAAAATTTATTTTAGTTAAGTTTATACAAATTTATCTTGGTTTGATTGTGTTGGAAGCTATAACATATTGAAACACTCTCGAATATTCCTGGGACCAATCAGTACTAAGCAATGAGTGTAAAGTTTCTTACTCAGAAAATAACGGCTGGCCTGAACCCTCACAGCCAGTAATTGTTAGATTACTAGTAGTCTGACGAATGAACCATTCGGCCATGCCACCGAATAAATTTATTTGGTATCATTTCAAAAAAGACTGAGAAATTATTTTAGGTATGAAATCTTCATACTGTATTTTATCATTTTGATATTTATTTACTATGTATATTATATTACTTATTGTAGCACACACCTGAAACTACTATTTTGTATTCAAATCAATCTAAATTAGACATCTATATGCTTATAATTGTACAGCAGCATGTACTCTGCTATTTATGGTTTATTCGTTAAACATATTAGCTTTTTAAAATGTTAAAACATAACATTAGGTCCAGGGTAAAGTGATCTTCTAAATTGCTGTCTCTGACAATTGTTCGGGAGTTAGTGTTTGTGAGATAAAATTCCAGGATCATTCCACACTCATGTACCATAAATGAGCTGTGCCATGACAAAACCAACGTAATGCTTTTGCGATCAGCATGGATCCAGACCAGCCTGCGCATCCGCACAGTCTGATCAGGATCAATGCTGTTCGCTAGCAGTTTCTTTACTTGTTATAGGGTCTGTAAGCGAACAGCATGGATCCTGATCAGACTGCGCAATTGCAAAGGCTGATCTGGATCCATGCTGGTCGCAAACGCATTATGTTGGTTTTGTCGTGACACGGCTCAAATGTGATAAGTTTGGCACAGTGTGGATATGATTTTGTAATAGTTGTGTTTGATGTGATTATATAAAAGCAGAGATACCATAAAGTTTTTAATTCCCCAGCTTATTCGGAATTAATGTTTTGAGGAAATTTTTGTCACTTTTAATGTACTGTACCAGACTTCCACAAATTCCATGATATTAAAAATTCATAATGCATCGGTAACTATAAACCACATGCAAAAAAGCAAGACATATTGTTATTGTTTAGAAGATTTGCAAAGAATAAATGAAAACATGCAGGTGAAAAAAACACATATTTGATATGTATTTTTTCTTGGTTTTCAGAAGAATTTGATGATAGAGGAAATAGGCTCATAGACCCTAATCTAGATCAATCAAATACAGGTAATATATAGTTTTTATCAATTAAATTTCATGAATATAATTTTGTATGAAAAGCTAAAATAATTAGCTTGAAAAAGAGAAGAAATTAGATATTCAGTATTTTTATTAAAACTTGTATTTAATATATTTAATAGTTGTGGTAGTTTAAAAATTACCTTTGTTTGACAATTAAGGTTTGTTTTTAGCTTTTTGTTTTCTCTTTTTTTGAACGCAGGATAGAAAACATTTAATTCTCTCTTCCCAATTATTCTTCAGATTTGATACTCAATTCTAGCTACTGTTTTAATGAATTATTCAAACTGCCAAATAAAAAGAGTAATAAACCATATTGCATACTGATATAATAATCATTCTTTGAAGTGAAACATAAATCTGTCTCCAGTAATAGGTGAGGTGTAATTAAAGTATCTGTCTCTTAATATAGGGATTGTGTGTTCAAACTATTCTGGGGTTGTTGCCTAGGTGTCAAATATGACATCAGTATTGTTAAGCTCAGTACACGTCACGATTAAGAGGACTTCAAATTATCTCTGAGCTTTCTCTATGATCGTTCTGAAATAAATTTAGTTTAATTTAGATCAGTGAACTTCCTTCATAAGTTAAGGTATACATCGAGAAATTATTTTCTATTTCAGAGGGATTTAATCCGTTACCAGACGATCATAATCCTTATCTTGATGATGCAGACGATCAGTTTCCCGATGATCAGGATTTCCGTGGTGACCAGGATTTCCGCAGCGACCAGGATTTCCGCAGTGATCAAGATTTCCGAGAAGATCAGGATATGAGGGATGACCAGGACTTCCGTGGTGATATGGACTTCAGACAGGCTGAAGGGGGTGGGGGTTATAACGGTCCTGGTCCTGTGGGATCATTTGGGTCTCAAGGTGGAGGGCCTAAGGGTAGAGATGGAGGTAGAAGAGGGGGTGGTGGTCCGAGGCAGGGCTTCCATGGGGACAGAAGTTTTGGACATGAAGATATGGATCATGATAACTATGATCGTGATTATAATTCCGGGCCAAATAACCGACCACCTGATGGTGGAGGACAACAGAGACAGTTCGGGCAGAAAAATCCCCCAAGCTTAATGGATCTTAGTTTTAATTCAAATGAATCCTCAGACTTAAATTTGAAGGATCACAGTCCTGGACCAAAAGGTCGGGGACGAGAAGGCCGAGGACGTGATAGACATGGGGAAAGAGGTGGTAGAGGGGGTCAGGATGGTTTCAGAAACAACAGGGGGAGGGGAGGTAGTAATAATAATAGATTTGAGGATAGAGGTGGACGAGGAAACTGGAATGAAGATGGAGATGGTAGTTTTAGTGAAAATAATGACAGTTTTAATGATTCACAGGGCAGTACCAACAGTGGTGGTTATAGAGGTGGCAGCAAACCTAGAGGTGGCAGAGGAAACTATAGAGGTGGTGAAAGGAGAGGTGGTAGGGGTGGACAAAGGGGTAACTACAGGGGTGGCGGTGACAATAGAGGTGGGGGAAGGGGACGAGGGCGGGGAAGGCGTTGAACATATTTGTAATACCTAGAATAAACAAGATGTTCAACATTATTTTGTGTCTTCTATAGACCAAAAAGTGCATTATTGAAATCTTTTTTTATAAGATTGGGTAAGCCAGGCTTGACTTGTTGACAGGTATGCCTCACGCAGCTCAAACGTGAAAATTTTCAATTTTGCCCAAAAATACAACAGTGCAAATATTGCCCCTATTCATCACTACTAAAGTGGAGAAGAAGAATTCTAGTGAAATGTTTCATAGTTAAAGTTACAACTGTATGGATCGTCTGAAAAATTTCCATCTCAAGACTGACATGTCCAAATCATCATACAGGCTGTCAGTTTGTCTGGAAAGAAAAGTGTCTACACACTTCATAAGAATATCCAGTTTGGATAGCTGAAGTTTTATTCAATTTTTGATGTTGGGAATAAATACATAATTATTTTCTGCACTAGGTTAGGAGTAATTAAATACTGATTTAGTGCCTCGGCACCAGGGATTGAAAGTTTGTCTCAGAGCCATAATTGTGTCCTTCAAGATGAGAAGTTGTTAAATTCTTTGAGCTGGCTCGATTTTTATACTTGTCCAGCTGTAAATACTCTTATATTCTACTAGTAAATTCAAGTAGAGAAGTGAATTTTTCAGTCTTCGTGCACTTACATTGCAATTGTACAGAAATCAGTTGTACATATATATGTTCATGTATATAAATATGATGAATATAGTTAACAGTGTGACCCATTTGTAAATTTTAATGAATTATTTCCATGTTTTGATTTCTATATGACCTTTGTATTCAGTTTAGCAGGTAAATCTTGACACTTTTTATGCCCCCACCAAGTGGGAGCATATAGCGTTGCACTTGTCCGTCCGAGTGTCCGTACGTCCGTCTGTCCGTACGTCCCGAAATCTTGTGAACGCAACTCCTCTTAAACGGGATGGAAGATTTTGCTTAAACTTACAGGGATGAACAACCTTAATGTGTAGATGGTAGTAAAGGAGGGAATTTTTGCTGCGACCAAATTTAACAGAATTATGGCCCTTTGTTGATTTTTTCACTATATTCTATGCAGAAATTTTGTGAACGCAACTCCTCTTAAACCGGATGGCAGATTTTGCTTAAACTTCCAGGGATGAACAACCTTAATGTGTAGATGGTAGTAAAGGAAGGAATTTTTGCTGCGACCAAATTTAATAGAATTATGGCCCTTTGTTGATTTTTTCACTATATACTATGCAGAAATTTTGTGAACGCAACTCCTCTTAAACCGGATGGCAGATTTTGCTTAAACTTCCAGGGATGAACAACCTTCATGTGTAGATGGTAGTAAAGGAAGGAATTTTTGCTGCGACCAAATTTAACAGAATTATGGTCCTTTGTTGATTTTTAGTTTTCAACTTGTGGCACATGTAGTCCAAAAAAATATTTGACCTAGAGTCATAAGATTGACAGAACAGTGGCGTGTGGGGGCATCCGTGTCCTATGGACACATTTCTAGCTTTAAACAATGTTGATACTTTGGTTTAATAGTGAGGCGGTGGCCTAGTGGTTAAGGTGTCTGGGCCTCTCAACCTAGAGATCAAGGGTTCGAGCCCTACTAGGGTTATGACCATGTTTCTTCATATGACACCAGTACTGGTTGGTTCCAGGAAACGACTCGAAAGTGATTAATATAAGTTGCAAGAACTTGTATAACATTATCGAGCTTAAATAAATATGTTTAAACCAATAGTGAGGCAATATTTGTACTAAATAGCATGTAGGATATATTAAGAGAGCGCTCAAGAGTTAAAATATTTGTAAAAAGATTTATATCAACGTTTTTCTGTTACCAAAGAAATTCTATTTTTCTGATTTTTCTGCTTACTAGTACAAATGTTCTTAAACATGTGTATTTTGAGATTGTAATGAATTCTTTACTATCTGAAAAAATGGAAGTGACATAGGCAATGGTCATGTTTCAATGTTGACAGAGTTGCCTTAAATTGCATGTTTGAACGACTAAGTGCTAAACTAGGTCCATAAATAATAATTCTGTAAATGCATATGCAATATTGGATTAAATGTGACGTGCTTTTGGTTAGTTTGAATTTGATAAAGTGTCGAAAGTAAGTGTGAAATAAAGATATATTTATAGGTCCTTGTACTTTCAGATATATTTAGCCATGTCTGTAAGCAATTTGATTATTAAAAGTACTGTTCATATTTTATAACGATATGTCAATAAATCGGTCCTTATTTCATTTCGGGAGTACATCTTAAATAAATCATTTCATTGTTTCAAATTTAACTTTATCAGAAAAGAAAGGCATATCCTAGTTAAATTGTTGACATCCATTTTTTTTTCAGGTTATCGATTTCTTCATTTTCTAAATGTTTTTTTTAATTTTTGTTTAACTGACCTTATGTTGTAGACTTTTCCTGTTATTCTCTGTTAATTTAAAGGATATAGTTACCAGATTCCTAAAATTGGGTATTAATCAGTAAATTGTTTGTCCACACTGCAGTGAAGTGCAGTCTGGCTTCGAGATTATAAAACTTGAGTTCCGTCTCCAATTTCAGGATTTTCATTGGTCAATATACATTCTGTACTGGTGTCTGACCAATCAAACACTTAAGATTTGAGTTTTAGCTATAACCTTGGACTCAAAGTGTGAGGTTATAAAAAAAATTCTCGGCTCATACTTGTTACTCTGATTGGTCAGAAATCGCTGGATGTTGTGGCTGAGATGTTTCCTCTAATTGTTGAAACATAAGAATTGCAGTCACAGTTTATCCCCACATTATTTGTAAGAGACAACTAAATAGGTTCAAATAACTGGAGTATATGCATGTCTCAGCTCAAGCAGGTGGTTTTTACCCCTGGTGTAACATATTCAAAATGAGAGTTTTGTTGAAAATATCTTCAATGCAAGTATGTATACATCAGTTACACACTTGTCAATAAGTATATTACAGGACCTGTTTGAGTGTTGTATATTTGTAAAATATTTGCTTATATAATAATAACTGGTGTCTTAGACATTGGTTATTTGAATGAATGAATCTGTACTTTTGTATATAAAGTATTTGAGTAACTTGAGAATTTGATTCTATTACATGTACATTGTTTCTCAAGAAATCGCCGCATGTTTTATATACATTGAGAATGATGTATGATGATGACAATGCAGTAAAAACTTCTACTATGACCTGTTGTTGTTGTTGCTGTAGTATTTTGTTAGTTAATTATTTATTAAAGCTGCAGGTCTCCAGATGAGCCAAAATTATGTCAAGAAAATAATATACTAAGATAGTTAAAAAAAAGATTTTAGATTCAAGTATAAGCTATTTGCAATCAGTGACAGACTTTGCAGTATATATCACCATATTTTTACATTTGACATCTTTTTACTAATATACATGGACTTTAAGTGCTGCTTGCAATTATTATATGGAAATTAAGTTCTTTGTTCACTAACAGAATATTTTTCATTTCAATATGTTTTTCAAAATAAGCCCGATTAATTTTAAATTGAAATTAAAATAAGCTAGTAAATTAGCTTGAATCTGGAGGTATGCTGCTTTAAAACAAAGAAATTCACGAGAGTGAAAATTTTGATATGATCCCAGAGAAGTGTGTGCTTTAAAGAGTATAAAGTATCCCAATAGTATAGTCAACTTGAAAAGATTTGATACAAGAAACATACTAGTGCATTTTCATTAAAGTATTATAAATATGCCCGTCTTATAGCTTTCCTACACTACAAATACTGTATGTCACAATTGTAGGCAAGTGTCCCAGACCCACTTACACTAAGCTTTTGTACCAATCGCATTCAACCCCTGTGTAAAGTTCTTATAATTTAGTAACTGTTCTGTCCAAGACCATCACTGGGAAAATTCACATCAGTTTTGAGATTATATTATGGTACAGATCAGAGTTGATAACTAGCCCAATTTTTACTTAATTATTCCCCTTGTGAAAATTTTATGCTCCCATTTCCATATCAAATACAGATTGGCTCTGATGTCTCCTATAAGCTAATTTACTGTATGAGAGGTTAATTTTGCGACATGGAAATATTTTGCATATTGAAATTATTCCCAATTATTTGATCGCAAAAACATTTTTCTCATTGCTTGTTTATGGTTGGTCTTAACAACTGAATGGAACAATAACAATGACAGCATATTATTAATATGTACCTGCTTAATTAATGATATCCAAAAACATAATTAAATTCAAGTGAACATATTTTTGCAAAAATTTCCCCTTGCAAAAAGTCCATTTTTTGACATTCGCATAATTTTTGTGCGCATAAATATCCACTTATACAGTAAACTATAACAGCGTCTGCTATGGCCAAAAAGCCACCATATGAAGTTTTGTCAGTAGATACATTTGTAATTGAAAATTCAAACGGCTAAGTATTCCAAAATTATATAACAGAAAATTCTGATTCTTTTACCGAGGAGACCTACCCAGCTTGGATGTTTCATGTTGACACAACCTTCAGTCATTGGATTTATGCTCTGAAAAAACAGCCATGTAAATTACAAAGGGCAATAACTCTAAAAATGTACCGCTGCCACAGTCCCGACTTGTTTTCAAAATGGTTGCCTCTTGTATTGAACTATATATATTCTATGCTGCCCTGAATATTGTTATTAGGGGTATTTACTGATCCAGTAAAACTATTCACAACCTTGTTTTGCTTAGGCTGTAATAATAATAACCAAATAATACAGAAGAATGAAAACATGTTACAAAACTTTAGCTTTTTATTTACTGTTACAAAAGTATGTAAAGTTAACAGTATTAAATTGGTTTTTTCAAATCTTAACAATAAACAACTGTTCAAATATATTTATGTATAAAAAATTTCAATGACTGCATAAATTTTTACATTTTACAACACGCATATAAAATGGCACATAAAACAATCAAGCACTTACAAAACAAAGAAAGACAGTTCATTCAAAGAAGTGCATAAAATACAAAAACATGTTTTGACAATCGGGGGAATCATTTCTTGAAATTTAATAAATGAAGTAAATGTCTTTATGATTTAAAAGTTGTCACCTTAAATGAACAATAATTCTGTTACATATTAAATAATCTATATTAAACAACACTCTTATACTGCTAGGACACGAGTAGATGGAACACTTTTATCCAGACTACATTACAGACTATAAGTTAGCAGCATAAACAGCAAGACTGACCTAAGTTGACCATTCATGCAGTCTGCTAGACTTGATATTTCTTTGTTTCTTCATCTTAAGCTGGAAATATCCCCAACTAGTCTCATTCCAAACAACATTTGAGCTGTGTCACGACAAAAGCAACATAGTGCGTTTGCAACCAGCATGGATCCAGACCAGCCTGCATCTCCGCGCAGTCTGATCAGGATCCATGCTGTTCGCATACCAACCCTATTACAAGTAGAGAAACTGATAGCGAACAGTATGGATCCTGAGCAGACTGCGCGGATGCGCAGGCTGATCTGGATTCATGCTGGTCGCAAACGCACTATGTTGGTTTTGTCATGGCACGGCTCATTTCTTTCTGACTTTGTAGTGTATTGATAGACCCTTACACAGGCCTTTTATTAATAACAATTTTGAATGAAAATAACTTTGTAACAATCATTTGTTAGCTTTCATGTATGTAAATAGTTCAAAAAAATGTTTGCTCTGAATGACTGAACATAAGTAATGGATGAAAATGAGTTTTCAAAATGAAAAAAAAAAGAATGTGCTTATCTTAAAATAAACATTTAGGGCATTAACTTCATTAATGATTCAGTAACTCCTGCTTTACTCAATTTCTTCTGTAAAGACTTGCATGTGAAAGCTATGTCATATTTAATATATATGTAGTAAAAGCAAAATGATAACTATGGCTGAATTGATAAAGGATTGAGGCAAACACTTTATTGCTTATTGCCAATAAAAAATGAAACATTTATGCATGGACTATTTCAGCATAAAAAGGGTATACAGCTATTTTGGGCCATTTGTAATCTGGAAAATATTAGTATATATATCTTATTCAAAATCATACCAAAGTACCAAAATCTGAAGAAATTTTTTTGTAAATTCCTGATTTTGCAGATTTGGCATGAGCTAAAACCTTCTTTAAGTATCAGATGAATATCTTATTACAGAAAAATAATTATTCCATTTCCTATATATTTATAAATTCATGTGCTAAAAAAGACAATTTTTTTTTGTAAAATAAAGTGTGCAAAATTGATTACCAAAACGTTACATGCACAGCATAATTAAACATTTTTCGAAATTTTTATAGTACATTTTTCCCAGTTAATAGCTATTCACCTTTTTTAAAGAAAAGGTCTTTCAAGGATGAATTGATCATAAGCAGAAATTCTTTAGCCATAGGAAAGTTATCTACATATATCATGTACACATGCAGTATTATGCCTTAAACTTGACAATGATGAAGGTCACTAACATATACAACGATTAAAATGTTCACAAGGTGCTTTGTAAAAATAAATCTGTAACAAATAAAAAGTGTACTGGCTAAAATATCAACATTCTTATCACATGTTTACAGGTGAACCAAAAATATACAAAATACTGTTTATTTCATGAACAAAAATATCACAAAAATAGCAAAATAATTATATAATAACCAGATCTATATAGAACATGTACATTCCTTCAAAGGCTCAAGTATAAATCTTATGAACTCAACTGAACAATTAAATGTTTCTGGTAAAAAGCTATAAAAAAAAGTCTGATTTTTTTATATGTAAAAACTTCAAACCTTAATCCATATAAATCTTGACAATTTCAATGCCTTTTCTGTTCAAGGTCATTTATTCAGTCTGTGTTAAATTCAAGGTCAAGTCTTCCGATTATGTTGTATTCAAAGTTATTCCTTCTGTCTGTTATATTCAAGGCCAATTCTTCAGTAGTGGTATATTCAAATTTAATTCTTGAGTCATTTTATATTCAAGGCCTGTGTTATATTCAATGTCAATTCTTAAGTCTTAAGTTAAATTCAAAGTCAATTATTCAGTTGCCTGTTATATATTCAAGGTCAATTATTTAGTATCTCTTATATTCAAGGCCAATTCTTCAGTCAATTTTAAATTCAAGGTCAATTCTTTAGTATGTTTTCAAGGTCAATTATTCCGTCATCTGTTATGTTCAAGGTCAATTGTTCAGTTATCTTTCAATTCTTTAGTACTTAATATATTCAAAGTCAATTTAAGATCAAATCTTCAAAAACAATCCACATTATTGTAAGCTAACCCACATTATATCAAACAATAGATCTACATTTTCAAGGTATAAAAACTTTTCAGGCCTTCCCTTCACTTTTATTCAAGGTCAAACCTTCATATGCGTATCTTACATCAACTTATTATTTCCAGACAAAAATCAAAACCGAATTCATCCTTTATTAACAAGGTCAATCCCTTTCCTGCCTTTCCAATGTTCTACTTGTAAAGCAAATCATCAAATGAAAATCAACTTTCTTATGTTTTTCTGATCTAGTTAAATGTTTAAAAATATGAATTAGCACTGAGATTATTAAATTTTCATAAATTAGCTTCACATAACAGAAGGAAAATACTCACAACAATATCAATAATCAAAACTTTATGCATCATATTTAACTAACTTTGAGTTTGGTAAATAAAATTTGTAAAATATTTCTTATAAAACGTAAACAAGAGAAAACAAATACTTGTAAAAAAATTGATAAAAATTTAAGTATAACAAAGTTATGAAACTGATTATTCTTTTCAGTTTATATTTTTTTCTTGATATAATTAACAAAAAACGGTCAAGATATGCAAAAACAGCCCTTACTGCGTAACGCAGTAGAAATATGGTGATAAGGTACTGCAAAATCAGTGTTGGACCGCACATAACATGTACAATATAACTTTGATCTTGAATGTTTTTATCTTTCTTTAAAGTTAAGTGCATTTTCAATATTGATTTTCTTGAAACATTTTGACTCATCTGGAGGTGTGCAGCTTTAAACACATTGCCCCCCTCTGTATGAAATAAGTAATTGTTTAGAATCATACAGTAGTACCACACTATTGATATCTTACTTGTCTTAAAAAGACTTAATTTCTATGGAAAAAAAAAAACATAACCTTTATAGGACTCCACTTTTTTTCACATGACAGGACTGGTGGAAATATTTTGTCCCAGATTTGTGTACAATTTGACTTGTAGGCGTGCAAGATTTCAACTCATTTATTCACATCATTTTTTTCTCTTCAGAATAATGATTTTAATTGTAACACTAAACCTTTCACAATAATTTTACTTTCAAATTAATGCCAAGAATATTTCTCTATAAATTTTAGCATAATATTTTTCTTTAAATGCCCAAGTTGATCTATGTTAGAATTTCAAATTTTATATGTTTAAAGCTTTTGGACCTCAGTAGAGTCTATTAATTGTAAAAAAAAAAAAATGAGCCGCGTCACGAAAAAAACAACATAATGGGTTTGCGACCAGCATGGATCCAGACCAGCCTGCGCATCCGCACAGTCTGATCAGGATCCATGCTGTTCGCTATCAGTTTCTCTACCTGTAATAGGGTTTGTAAGCCAACAGCATGGATCCTGATCAGACTGCGCGGATGCGCAGGCTGGTCTGGATCCATGCTGGTCGCAAACCCATTATGTTGGTTTTGTCGTGACACGGCTCAAATACAAGTATTGATATCAAACAACATTTATGTAAATATAAAAGACTACATTTATGTAAATATAAAAGACTATCTGAGTACTTTGTAGTGAACTCAATTTGCTGAATACAATTTTCTTTGAATACAAATTCTTTATAAAACTACCTCACACTTACCCAATGTTTCACTAATATTATGTTAATGTTTCTCAATTAAAATTATATTTTTTGTGTCTAAGAATGGTATTACTATAAAGGTCATAATTATGCTAACCTTTCCTTCCGATGGCCTTTTCTGAATTATTTAGTGCAGGTGTTAAGCACCCGAGTAGAACCTAATTAGATATATTTAAAAAGTATACCATGTCACAGGCAGGATTCTTACACACATTGGTTTGGGAACAAGTGATTTGAAATTTATGTTCTAAGTCACTTGCTTACATAAGCCATCAGCTCTCAAAATTACCTCCGATATACTTCAAATTATAAAAAAAAAACATGACAGAACTTTTTTTGGTTGTGTTTTTCAGCCAGATCAACACTGTTATAGCCATATGAATACACTGCAGCTTTGACTGACGGAGAAAGACCAAGGTAAAAACACATTCTTATTGCTTTACATCAGACACAACAGAGTACCTAGGTAGAACCATTGAATACAGCAAATATGGTTTACTTGCATTTCTGCTGAAATCTGAACTAAAAAGTAAAAGATGATTGCTTTGAACAAAAAGAACACCTAGTATTGTTTCATTTTCATACAGCACTTTCCATTGACACTTTTTTCCCAGATCTATAATTATCTAACATAGCAGAGCTTGCATCTTCTAAATTCCATCTTGTGTCAACAAGAAGTCTATGACAGTAATCCCTAGGTGCCAGACCTAGTCGGAATAATTGTTCAATTTTCAGGTGCTTTATTGCTTTTTCAACATGACCGTTACAGTGACAGAGTGCTGCATGACACTCTTCATCAGTAAGTCCAATTACAGCTTCCTGTAAAGCTGTAATTTTTTCACGTCGCCAGTTACCATCAGACGCAGTAATATCAGGGTTGTGTGAGTAAGATCTTTTATATTGATTATGTCTATTAGCATTTGGGTATGACTGTGTGACATCGATATTCTGATTTGACCACGAATGATCGCGACTGGAACTATGTTTTGATCTGCTGAACAAATCCTCAGAAGATCGTGTGGTTTTCGGTTCTTGACAAATTTCTCGCGGTAAAACTTGTAGTGTTTCAAAATTTTGATAATCATGAAGAGAGGCGGCACTTTGCTCATCTTGCGATATTTGATTGCCATCAATGGAAAATGGACGAACTTCTGCTGTGGTTCGTCTGGTATTGCTAGGACAGTCTTCTTCGCCCTTTGCTGGAATGAGAAAATAATGTGTGTGACTTAACTGGTGGCCATCTTGAACAATAGGAAAAATGTTTGGCTTTTTATCTCTTTCACTACTGTGATCAGAATGGCCACCATGTCCTTGACTACTGTAGTCACGAGGAGGAAGTGGCGGAGGAGAGGCGCGCATTCCATTTCCTGCCACCGCACCTCGGACAGTTTGCTCATCTTCGTCATCGAAATCAGAATCAAAATCATCCCAGTCAGAATAGGTGGATGTAGTGCTCTGAGGCGAATAAATATCTTTTGGTATAGGTAACTTAACGTCATTTGGGTCATCAAACCTTGGAACTTCATCATATTTCGGAATGAATTTCGGTCGCTCATTATTTAGGATGCCATCTTCCATTGGAACTTCGCAATACTGAACTGGATATTGTCCCCTTGCAGAAGACATATGAGGATTTGCAGACGACATTGGTTGATATGCTTTAGGCCTAACAGATGGGCTATATAACTGTGATTCATCTGGCACTTGGTCATAAAAAGGTCGATCAGATTTCCCTGATAAAGTTGGGTCAGAACCTGCTTTCCCAGCTTTATTTAAAGAGAAGTTATTTATAGCATCATTCAACCAATCAAATGCTTTATCAACCTTTTTTAACTGCTGAGGTGTGTCATCAGCCTCACTTTGACACGGAACATTTTGATTTTTTAACAAATTTTTGCTAGCAAAATTTGTCTTTCCCTTTGAAAACAACTCTTCAAGAACAGCTTTTGTAGACTGGGTTTTTGTCGGAGTTGACGGAATATTAGGACTGGTACTTGCCGAGCGAACTTTCCTGTCTCGATTTTCAACTTTTGGTGGCGGAGCATATGCGGAATGAACACTTCCAGCCTCCGGAGAAGCTGTATTGTCACGTTTTTTATATTCTGGAGGTAACTTAATACCTGTACATTTCGGTGGTGAAAAACTTTGCCAGCTATCTTGACTATGTTGACTGTCTATTGAAGTTGTCCGTCTGTACACTATAGGTTTTGATCGGGGCGGAGTTTGCCGTATTTTATTATTGTCTTCCGAAGATTTTATTGACCTACTATATAAACTAGCTGCATCGATTTCAAAAGGGTCTTGTTGGGAGCCAGACTCCCTTATTAGGGGTTGTGGGAGACTTAGGTTCCCATACTGAGATGATGTCCCAGTTAATAAGCTGTCAAAAAGGGAGGAAATCTCACTTGGGGTCGTGGATTTATTAGAGTTATTTGCCCCTGACCCTCCATCAGTGTCGTCACTTAGATCTATTAGAGGTTTCTCATTGCTTTCTTTACGGTAAACTTTAGTATGTCCAGAGGTCATAGGCCATGACCTCTCAAGGTCACGAATATCTTGATTTGCATTGGAATTTTTTTGTGATCTAGCATACACAGGTTCGTCTCCACTGTTAGGTTCATTCTGAAACTTGGAATAGTTGAACTGCCGACTAGAAGCATACCCAAATGGTTCTGAAACAGAAATAGATTTAAACAAAGTGGTTAAAAAAGGCAACTTTCATTTAACATCATAGTCACAGACACCACATATCGTCCCAAAAATTTTATTTTCTAGGAAACTTATACAAATGTTCAATAAAAGCACAGCCTTTATTGGTAAACCGTATGATGCAATTGTTAAATTAAGTATGTGATAGTAACTATTCTTACTTTTAAGTTTTTCCGTATGTATATCTTCAGGAGAATCTGGGGGCGGGGCTTGTCCATGTAGATCAGGAGGTTCCATGGGGTTACGTAAATATACCCTGAAATTCAACATACCTCGTCAATGCAGTACAGAGAAAAGTTAGTTATATCCAAAACTCATGCATTGCAATCAATGCTATTACTTAACCATTTGCCCCTCACCGCTGTGAGTTCGAATCCCAACAGGGACTTTGGATTCTTTCATGTGAGGAAGCTATTACGTCTGTGGTTCTACTCAGGTGCCCGTTCGTGCCTGAAAAAGTACCCGGAAGGGCACCTGAGGTCTTCCTCCACATATTAAGATGGAACATCGCCAAAAGACCTATACTGTGTTGGTGTGAAGTAAAACCCAAACAAACAAACAAACAGACTATATACACTTTATGTTGTTACTTTATAGACAAGAGCTGTCACTAAAACATCACACTTAACTATTCCCATTGCTTGACAGTAACTGTAAGAAAAGGGACATAACTCTGTAGAAAGGTCATGAGTTATGGGACCTATGGCCATCATGTTAGATAACAGATAACAAGTGGTGAAGTTTAAATCCATTTACTTCCCTTTTGAAGATACCAACTTTCTTCCATAAAGTGCAATGACATTGCCAACACCAGGGTTATTACAATAACTCACCCTATTTTTCGAACAGACAAGCTAAAAATGGATTCTCAACACAAAAAAAACATCTATAAATTACAAAAAAATAGCCATACTCATCAATATATTCAGCATTTCCCCATGACTTCCCTCCAGGGTCCCCATGACCAGTATGTATAAAACTATTCTTTAATGGTTTACTTATATCTGTCGCACAACGTCGCCGCTGAGTATTCACAATGTGACGAGGGAACTGGCCGACTAAATGTGTTCGCTTGTTCTGACCTTTCCACCAGTAACAATCTGGTCTATAGTAATACAAAATATTAACATTATATATACAGAATAATCACATAAACCATCATACAGGAGTGTAATAAATCAATTTGATAAAACAATATTACACTAGTGCAATAACACTTTGACATGGCATCATTTGTGTTGTATACAAAAATAAGCACACAAGCATTACACTACAGGCACATCAATGAAAAATGACTCTATTTTTTAACAGGAAACTGTTCTTATTTTAGATATGCGATAAAAAGAATATTATATACATGTAGATTCAATTCTAATTTATTGAACTTTCTGCCAGAGCCTCGCATAATATGATTTTATTAACTTGTTCAAAAGATTTGGTACTTAATCTATTTTTATTCAATATCCACTATTGAAAAAATCCAAACAAGATTTTTATGAACTTGTTTTATGTCTCACTGTCATACACAGTCGGCAAAATAAGACACACGCCTGATGCCCGAGGTGTGTAAAATCCCATTCAGGCCTGCAAAAATTCAAAGAAAGTAAGCCCGACGGTCATTTAAATACAGAATGTATTTTCATATAAAATTAGTTTCAGTTTTAATATTTTTCTGAAATTGTGTAATATGTCATCAGTCTATGTACACCAAGTAATATTTGCGTTTTACATCATTCAATTATGCATAATCTTTATTTATCGTCTTCAGCTATTGGTTAGCGTAAATATACAGACAATGCTTGAGTATTATCATAAGTGTTCGCTAGTTAAACAACAAGTTATCGAAATTTTCCGTTGGAATACATTTATTTTTAGACTGACCCATTTAGATTTAAAAAAACCAACATGAGTCAGCTACATAACACGTCTGAAGCGAAACCGGGAGACATTGAATGCAACGCTTGCTTTGTTGTTATTTGTTTTCATATTTCAAACAATTCAAATGGAAAGCAGTAGATTGACAAGTAATGATGAATAGTATATAAGAACAGAAATGAAAAGTGGCTGACTGACTTTCCATGCATGTGTGCCTGAATTGAATCTTGTTGTTGTAAATAAAACTGTTGTTTTCATTTTGCAGAATAAATTTTAAAATGCTTTGGGCCTACGATTATCTGTCTGGGCCTATACTTTTGCCTAAGTTAAATGACCAAATGGCTTATGATCTAAAAAATGTTTATTTCGCAGACTGCACACATAATCAAAACATCATTATATTGCTACAACATTAAACATTTAAATTACTTTAGGTAATGTGTTTCTAAAACATTTTGTAAATATCTAAAACATTTTGTAAATAAAATCAAAGCATGAATTACCTCCCCTCAATCACAGTCACATGATCTCCCTCCTCTACAAACAATTTACCGTCTTCACTGAAACTCTGTTGTGCTTTGACATCCATTGGACGTACCTAAAACATTAATACATCATTAGTAATATGTCATCCATACATGATGATGATCAGTCAAGGGAGTCTCACCTTCAGATGCGAATAAAACCAATGTACCTATCGTTTTGCAATGAAAATATTCTCTTCCACTTAATTATCACAAAAGCCAGGTCCATAGACTTAGATATTCACCTCATTGATCATTATACAATAATTGTATCCTGATGGTATGAGAAATGTTTATTGGTCAATGAAATACTTCTGTTTTCTATATACTTGTTTTGACATGTTTCAAATTAAAATCAAATTAAACAAATCAATAACAAAAAAGCACATACCGGCCATTTTTAGACAAAATTAGGACCCGCTTCTTACAAGCAATTAGTCTTATAAGTGAGAAATATGGTATTTAGATTAACATGACAAATTTATGTCAAAAGATTACAAAATTTTCACTTTTAATCTGAATATGTGTATCATACCAGAAAAAAGGTTCTAGAATAAATGATGAAAATTGGTGCTTGTCTTTTCAGTGAAATGCCTGAAAGCCTTGCATGCCTTACTGACAAAGAAGCTATGACAAAATAATCATAGAAAGAGGATTTTCTTTTGCCTTAAGTTGGATTAACTAATAAAAGAGGTTTGAAATCAAGTCAGGTAAAGATAAAGATGCTTGGAAACTTTAATTGTATGAAAGGGAAATCATTTGTTTTACAGGAGATGGAAACAGAAGAAGGGTTCAACAATTAAAGAAAAGGGTGTAACTTAGCTTTGGCTGGGGTGTAAGAAATAGATGCAAAAGAGAGTAGGATGTATTTATAGAGTAAGGATGATGCATAGATAAAGTTTCTGTGGATTTCAATATAATCAATAGATCTGAAATTCCATCACAAAATCTATATATCTTAGTTGCTTAGAGATAACATCATTTTCCTTTCTCACCATAAAAAGTGTTGTTTTCGAAAGGTATTCCATTTCAACAGTTGCAACACTGCACAGCATGTTTCAAATGAATCCTTAGATAATGCAAAATGACATTTGAGACACTGTTATTGTATCTCACATCTGCATGTATATATAAAACTGCCAGTTTGTAACATATGAGCCGTGTCATGACAAAACCAACATAATGGGTTTGCGACCAGCATGGATCCAGACCAGCCTGCGCTTCTGCGCAGTGTGATCAGGATCCATGCTGTTCCCTTAAAGATCCTATAACAAGTAGAGAAACTGATAGCGAACAGCATGGATCCTGATCAGACTGCGCGGATGTGCAGGCTGGTCTGGATCCATGCTGGTCGCAAACCCATTATGTTGGTTTTGTCATAACGCAGCTCATATGTGTAACCATGATGTTTATATATCCAATATTAAGCTGCTATAAAATCATGTAATATTCTTTTATAATAAAAGGAAGCTATTATTCAGTATTATGAATTAATCATAAAGATAACAGACAGGTTATATGGCTGTTTATAATACTGAATACTTGTAACATCTCTTTTCATTGGATAACCATTGATGTTTATATCATCTGTATATGTGGCTGCTGTGAATTTATGAAGAAATCTCACTGTTTTTCTCTAAAACAGGAAGTTTGCTTTATAATTCTTTATAAATATTCCTTACAGGTAATATGACCATACATAAATGGTTGTTTCCTATATAACCCAAACCTAGTCACTAGGGTTATATTTCAAACTACCATTTATATAGGGCCATATAACCTGTCACAGTTGTTCCCTATATAACCCCTGCATAGTCAATCTGGTTATATTACCTTACAACCATTAATAATTGGTCATATAACCTGTCAAAATCTTAATAAACTAAAAAAAATAAAGTGTGGATGAACTTGGACTTCGATTAACTGGCTAACATCGAAACAGGGTAAATATCAAGTTTGTCTGGTGATATCATGCGGTTTACAGACATGCTGCAGTGAAGATTAGGCTCCTACTGGCTCATGGATAAATTAGGAAACAGTGTTTACCTTTAATTTTCCTTCAGTCTGATAGCAACAATATAAAAATGAATTTTGCAAGTTTTTTAATAACATGCATTCCATTTTTCTATACTACATATCTAATATGTAAAATAATTTCACATAACTTTTAACAAACAACACTGAATTAAAGACATAAAAATGATTATTTTAAGACTGAAAAATTAATTTAAAAGACAAAAAGTTCAGGGACTAAAATTTAATCAAACAAGAGCTGTAGGTGGGATAACATGCTCGACTTTCCTCAGTGCTTGATAGTAAAACAAAGAGCCTGGATAACATAAAAAAATTCAAAGAGTTCAAAAAGGGCCATAATTCTGTCAAGATTTATGTTCGAGTTAGGCTTTGGACAGTGACTCCTATTATGCTCTTTCATTAGTGTGTAAAGTTTCAACCAATTCCCTTTGGTAGTTTTGAAATTACCAACTTGGACACTAAAACTCAACCAAAGTGTGACACCAAAGAATACACAGACACCTAGTTGACCTTCCTATATCTTCAAATAGATGAGTTAACTAGAAATGTGTCCACTGCACATGGATGCCCCTACATTTTACTCTTTTGCTAGTTTACCAACGGACAGCAAGAAAGTGGGACAGACACATTACGGCAAATCTATATGCCTCTATCCTTAAGATGGATCATATACATGTATAAGCATAGAATACATTATTTGCTTTTTCACAATACAGAATTTTCACACAACATGGTAGATTAGGAACATCAAAGTCAACAAACCTCACACAGGTAATCTTTGATGGCCAGGAAAGATGGTCTATCCGCAGGTTTTTGTGCCCAACATTGCAACATAAGCTGATATATCTCACTAGGACACAGGTCTGGTTTAGGTAACCTCTCCCCTTCCACATCTATCTTATGTAAAATCTGAAACATAAAAAAAGTTTGGTTATAACACCTTACAAACCTGTTAATATGAAATAATAAAAGCTATTTTTATTTATCTTTTTTTATAATTTCATTGAGATCACCAACACTGTCAAATGTTGCAAATTGTTTCAATAGATGCTTTCCGGAACTCGGCAAATGTGGGTTTTTCCCAGCCATTCCAAACAAGCTTTCCACTTAATAGCTTCAAGGTGCACTTCCTGTCACAATAGATTAGTCACCCTTTTGTGCTAATTTTTGAAGCTGTGATTGTAAACGTTTACTTACCATTGAAAACAATAACTACTTATGAAACAGAATGCTTGCCTATTATCAGAGCTAGATAGTAAAGAAAAATACTCAATAATGTTGTCCTGATTTCTTAAGCAGATAATATTTAAGTCAAAATCTATACTACAGTCAGGAGCCTGAGTCAATGATCTAAAACTCTGATGCAGAACTTATGCATAAACTTTGAAATAATTGACATTGAGAACTATACACCATTTGAAAAAAATGTAAAAACAGAGTAAAGTTTGAATTGTGAATTATATTTTTATTGTATTATGGAAATGTATTGTAGTACCTGTGAACCATTATAACCTAGCCAGGGCTCTTGTCCCAGGGTAAACATCTCCCATAACGTAACAGCGTACATCCAGGCATCACTAGCATGTGAAAATTGACGAGATTTTAAACTCTCTGGAGCACACCTATACATACATAAAACAGCATTATTTCCTTCCTTTATTGGTATAAACATTATTTAAGCTTGACTGCAAAATAACTTTTTGCAACATATATTAATCTCTTTTAAGTCCGCTTCCTGGAACAAAAGAGTACTGGTGTCATGTGAAAAAAAACATGGTCGTGACCAGATTAGGGCTCCAACCCATGACCCCTGGGTTGACAGATAGCACCTTAACCACTAGGCCATCGCTTCCCATGAGTATTTCTTACTTTTTCTAAACATCACCAATATTACGACCTTGTCAAGAAGTGTTTTTATGACATATTTTAATCTTACATACCAAACCTGTATGCATACTTATGCATTTGAAAACCTTACATGTAAACCTTATTTATTTGGAAATCTGTAAGCATAATTATCTATCTGTAAATCTCTGAGTATAAACATTCAACTTACCAAGCAAAAGGCACTTTCTTGTGTTCCTGCATCACATAGTGATCTTCTTGACTAGGTAATGCCCGCATCAATCCAAAATCTCCTATTTTTATCTAAATCAACAATAATTATCATCACCATGTTGCTAATGTTTTCAATGACCACAAAAAAAAAATCTGTAACAACTAAAACAATTTTCCATCCAAACTATTTATTCTAATGTTAATTATTGTCTATACAAAATATATTAAACTAGAACTATCACTAAATGTGATTAATACCCCTGCAAGACTGTTTCGGAAATGAGGATGTTACTAGTAACAGAATACCTTGTAAAACAATTGAAATATAGTTATGGTTGTGGGCAATCAAAGATAGTTGTTGTTCTTGTATGTTGCATTTCCTTTCAATGTGGTTGGCCATTGATGAATTTTAATTGAATTACCCTGCAAAAAGTCTAGAAAGACAAGGAAAAGGAACAAAGGGCAATAACTCTATAAATACTGAAGATGGAGTTATGGTTATTGTACACTGCACTTCCTTTCATTGCCCTTGACCATTGTATGAAGTTGTATTGAATTCCATATACAAGTTTTCAAGTGATACACAGGACAAAAAAGTAACAAAGGGAAATAACTGTAATAAGTCCAAATAGAGTTATGGTTCTTGTGCACTGCACTTCATCTCACTGCCCTTGACCACTATATAAAGTTTCATTGAATTCCAACCATTAATTTTCAAGTTATGCACTGCACAATAAAAAGTAACGAAGGGCAAAAACTTTTAAATGAGTTCAGAAAGAGTTATGATTTCTGTACACTGTGCTTCCTCTCAATATACTTGACCATTGTATGAAATAGTACAGTGAAATTTGAGAAAACCGGACGCTGAGAAAATCGGAACTCTCTAAATACCTGACAATAATTCAGTCCCAAATTTTCCCTTCTTTAAACTATTGTTTTAAACATTGACAAAACCGGAATCTGTAACAACCGAATATGGGACGGTTGATTGGGGACTACAAAGTCAATTATATAAACAATTACCCTGACAATACCGGACACCGAATGTGTGAATAACCTAGTGTACTTATCAATTGGTTGTGTCTAATACGCTAACTGAGCGGTAACGGAACAATGATTCTCTGTCTCTTTTCACAGTTTGATTTATTGTACGGTATAGATGTTACAGTTTTATTTAAATGCCAAAAATGCACGAGGAATTAATCAGTTAAAATCAATATAAAAATAAAAAAAAGTATTTTCCTACTGTGTTGCTTTTTGCATATTCATTTCCTAAAATGAAAACGCAACGGAAACGACATTTATCGGCGCTAAGTTCTATTCCATGGCCGAAAAGAATTCGACGAGAGCTGTCTACAAGTGACAAAGTTAAATTAATTGAAGACAGTGAAACTTTGCCGAGACCTACTTTAAAAATCTGTCCAATATGTTATTATCATAAACAAACAAACAAAAAACTATCATTATCCATAACCCAAATGTAAACATATTGATTGATCGTGATGAGGTAACTGCTGTTCATTTAAATCCAAACTTTTATTGTATTTATATGCAATAATGGGACAAAAACAATCAAAACATATTTTCTTGTATTTTTATCATTTCTTTATTTAGCAATGTACGTAAACATGATCTTGAAAATGCAAATATACAGCATCCTTTGTAGTCATTGCTCGGTTATAATATTAGATCCTGAACAGTTGAAAGGCACATTGAGAATACCGGACCGCTGAGAAAACCGGACAAAACCCTCAGTCCGAAAGCTGTCCGGTATTCTCAAATTTCACTGTAGTAGTTTTCAAGTTATGCTCTGGACAAGGAAAAAGCAATGGAAAAGTAACAAAGGGCAATTACTATATAATTACTCTGGACAGAGTTATAGTTCTTGTGCACTGCACTTCCTCTTAATGGGCTTGATCATTGTATGAATTTTTTTGGAATTCAAACCAGTATGTTTTAAGTTATGCTCTGGACAAAGAAAAGTATCAAAGGGCAATAACTCTGTAATTTGTCAAAATGGTGTTATGGTTATTGTGCACTGCTCTTCCTCTTAATGTGCTTGACAATTCTATGAAGTTGTATTGAATTCCAACCAGTAGTTTTCAAGTAATGGTTCGGACAAGGAAAAGTAACAAAGGGTGATAACTCTGTAATTAGTCAAGATGGAGTTATGGTTCTTGTGCACTGCACTTCCTCTAACTGTGCTTGACCATTGTATGAAATTATATTGAATTCAAACCATTAGTCTTCAAGTTTTGGTCTGGACAAAAGAAAGCAATTGAAAAGTAACAAAGGGCAACAACTCTGTAATTACTTTAGATAGAGTTATGGTTCTTGTGCACTGCACTTCCCCTTATTGTGCTTTACAATTGTATGAAATTGTTTTTAATTCCAACCAGTAGTTTTCAAGTTATGCTCCAGACAAGGAAAAGTAACAAAGGGCAATAACTCTGTAATTACTTTAGATAGAGTTATGGTTCTTGTGCACTGTACTTCCTCTCAATGTGCTTGACCATTGTATGAAGTTATATTAACTTCCAACCAGTAGTTTTCAAGTAATGCTCCGGACAAGGAAAATGCAACGGACCGCTGGACCGACCCACCAACAGGTTTACCCCCTTTAACCCCAAAACCTCATTTTGGGGGTATAAATACAAATTTCTTTACCTAACAGTGAGATCTGCTAACTGAAATAACAACTCCAAGTGAGATGAATTTCCAACCTAGCTTTGAAGCAACACGTTTCTAGAGGCCATACATGTAATATATATATACTAGCAATAGCTGAAATTTCAGGGCATTTAGCAATGGACTGGAAACTATTTATCTATTTACACCATGCTATCTGTGTCTGCAGCGGTCAATTATCAAACCAATTAATGGACTGGGAACTATTTATCTATTTACACCATGCTATCTGTGTCTGCAGCGGTCAATTAACAAACCAATTATCGGGCATTAATGCAATCAAAGGCGTCAACCTTGCTTAAATCTGTGCTTAGAGCAAAACTGTCGTGATGAAATGTTATTACAAAATGTTTCATTTATTTCTATAAAAATAAATTAAACTAAAATTTCATTTATTACTATGAAAATAAACTTCAAATCACTTTAATAAGATATTACAAACTATAATGTGTATATCACCTTTTCTCGCGACATAAGTAATACATTTCTACAGGCCAGATCTCTATGTATGAACCTCTTTGTTTCCAGGTAGTTCATTCCTTGTGACACCTGTACGGCATAGTCACACAGTTCTGACACCAATATCCTGTCCTGCTCCTTACGCATGAAATCTATGAGAGCACCCAGGGGAGCTAACTCTGTTACCTGATTTATATAAGATAATATATGATAAGATTATGCCTGAAATCTATGGGAGCACCCAGGGGAGCTAACCCTAGCATTGAATAATATCAGATTAAGTTAGGTAACCAAATTCAGTCACGTAACTAGCAAATATATTAATGTAAAATTACAAGCAAATAAGGAGTAACAACTTTCATAATAAAAAAGTGATGATTCAGTTTATAAATTTGAACAGATTTGTTACGATTTTATCAGCATTAAATTATAAAGCCAATCTAATTATAAAGTAAGATGTTGGAAGGTCAAAACAAATTATACTTCATCAGCAAAGTCCTTATTTCAAAACGATAAATTAAAACATTTTTTGAAGACTGCAAAAACAATGGAAGAATACCATTAGTAAGAACACTTAGTAGAACAGCACCAGTCTTAGTATGAAGGAAAGATCTCTAAAACTTAACTTTTATAAATAAAACCATATGCTAGAAAACAGTGAAGAGGTTTTTGTTGGTGAAGGTTCGAGAAAGATAATTATATAATTACCACTTGCCATGCTAAACATCTTAAACTGACTTGCCCGTCTTTCAATTTGGACTAAAACCATTCATCATTTTAGAACAAATTTTAAAATAATTTTTTTGTTTGTTTTGGGTTTAATGTTACATCAACACAGTATAGGTCATATCGCAACATTCCAGCTTTACTGATGGAGGAAGACCTCAGGTGCCCTTCCGTGCATTATTTCAGGCACGAACGGGCACCTAAGTAGAACCATCGACGTTCCATAAGGTAGCTGGATAGCTTCCTCACATGAAAGAATCCAAAGTCCCTGTTGAGATTTGAGCCAACACAGCCGTGAGGGGCAAATAAGTACTGACTTAATAGTTAACAGTGCAGACCATGCTTACATAGTACAGATGTGCCAGTAATTATGGTCTGCACTGGTTACATCAACTTGCAAGGTCTGTTGTCACCAGCAACCATGTCCAGCAGGCTATTGGTAATAATAAAGATATATATATATACCATCATAAGAGGTGTAGACAGGACAATGCCGTATAGTCTGATGAGGTTAGGATGATCTAAGTGATGCATGACATTTACTTCCTTCACAAAATCTTCAAACGCTCCAGGTAACGCTAATGCATCATTTCGTAAAATTTTTACAGCTACCAATTTCTGAAAGTTAGAATGATAACTCACATTGATATTCTGATTTACTGTAAAAAAGTGAATGTATATTGGTACAGTTACAATTATGAGAATATATTTGATAGTAAGAAAACTTTCCACCTAGTACAGTTCACTGTCTTAAGAAATTTTCATTTTCGTAATTGTCATCATATCATGATGAATATTGATTATCAAGAATAAAATTACACTAAAATTAGCTAAATATTTAGAAAATAAGTACATCTGAAATTAATTTCATAGAGGAAAAGCATTTTTCCTCAAATGAAGGGAAAACATTTTTTCTCAAATGGAGAGAAAGGATTTTTCATCGCATGGATGGAAAGCATTTTTTTTCACAAAGCATTTTTCCTCAAATAAGGTCAATGGCTGAAAAACTTTATTCTACTAGATATTACCCATTATGATACAAATCAATATTTCCCCAATACCAAAGAAAATTTCTCACCTTTTGACCTGATGGTGTTGTCCAATCACCTTTCTTCACCACACCAAAACTACCGTTACCAATTTTACCATACAAAAAGAGAGAGTTCTCGGCAATCAGACAGGTCAGTGCTTGATCCATGTAACCTGATAACCGTGGTGAACCACTTCCTGATTTCTTACTGCCAGTCTTCTCTGGTACTTTTGGTAAAATCTGAAAGGATTAAACAGTTATAAATAAAGAGTCCTACTGTAAACTGTTCCACTTCCAATAGCCCATATACTATATGTTTAGTACTGTTGCAAGTTAATAATATCAGAAAACCCTAAATTTAGTATTATTTCATAAATAAGAGCTTTCAAGTGAAAAAAACCCCCTGGACTTCAGAAACATATGCTTTATGAAATGGACTTTTCTGAAGTAATATTTGGAACTGCCCTATACTTATGTTTAAATATTGACACTCTTACAAGGAAATTATCAAAATAAAATTTCAGTCGCCAAATGGATGTGGATGAAAAGAATATGTCATCAATGAATGGAAATTTCATACATTGTCATAGGAAAAGCTGTGCATGAATATGGTAATTGCATCAAACATTGCATACAATGTTTTAAAGATGTTATGATTTGGTGATGTCATACAGGTGTGTGTATGCAGCACGGCAGAAATCAGTAGAAAACAACTTAATGAAATAAACAAAATAAATCTAAATAAACATCTAGCTAAATCAATCAAATATTGTTTGTTTGTGTTTTTCTTTTTCAATAATTTCCTTATTTAAATATAGAATAATTATACTTAAATCATTTCTACCTTACAAACAATATCAAAATCTATTACCAGAACCATGTTTACCGCCAAAAAAAATGTTAACACATTACCTACCTTGTCAAGTATTGTCTTCTTTCGTAAAGTAGTTTTCTTTCTTTTGACAGCATCCAGTAGTCTACGTACAGCTGGTTTACCCATACCAATCTTCTCCAAGTCCTCTGTCTTCACATAATCAAAGTGGGCAATCCTGAATCATATATGCAGTAATTACAACTTCAATATAAAAAGGAAAAGCAATGAAAGCAAAATTCAGTTTTTCAGAATTAATTGCATCAAAATGCTTGAGCACCAAAGAATTGCTACTTTCACAAGATCAGAGATCTGCCAAGAATTTGAAAGTACTGGGCCCTGGGCCCACTTGGTCTGAAAATGATGGGCCATTTTTACCAAAGTATGAGCCTTGGGAAAATAAGTAAACATTGACCAAAATAACTGTTAAAAAGTTTGTAGATAATTGAATTGCCCCGGTAATAAAACTTAAATCATGTTTTATGACAAGTGGTTCACTTATAATTCAGTACTTTACCAATAATTAAAAATTATGCCTACATGGTAACTTTCTAAATAATATTAATTGCAGGCAAAAATGAAAATATTTTTTAAATGGCTGCTCAAAAATTTGATATGCAAATTTATTCACATAATTGCTGGTTCTTACTTGTAATGTCTTATTTTGTGCATTATCCATTTAATTGTTCCTACTTTGCACCAAATGTCCCTTACCACTGTATATTGACGAATTTTATTGCCCCTTGTATGCCTCTGTGTAGACAGCATACATCAAAGACATTTGCCGACAGACCTTTTGATCATGAAAAAAAGTCATGCACAATGTTTCTCTGATTGGTTAATCACCCTGTCAAACATTCTGATGACGAAATATACATCTTTTTTTACACTTCATCAGCCAAAACTTGCGTGAACTTGAGTGACCTTAGGGTTGATCAAGTTGAACACCTGTCAGATTATACTGTAACTTACAGCATTTCTTAAAATAGCAACACTTTTTTTTCAGTTACCGATAATCATTTTAAATATTAAGTAGTTGTATAATTTGTTTGTTTGTTTTATTGGATTAAATTTACAGTAGTAGAAATGAGTATCTGTGTGGGAAAGGGATTATGAGAAGAAATGCGGTAAGTAGATAACATGGACAAAAGCTATAGGGGAATGGATAAACTCCAGAATATGCGTAATTACAGGAGCATGGGTAACATGTTGCTGTTGGTACCAGTTTTGACTGGATGACTAAATAACCCAGCAGACAGTTTTGTTTTCTTATAAGTCTGGCACAGATTTTAGATGCGCCCATGGCCCTTTGCTGCCGATTTTCCTGCGCCATTCTCATTTTTTTAGGGCCAATGGCGCAAAATCGCGTTCTCGGCAGATCTCTGCAAGATGTTTAATAAACAGGTCGAGGCAATATCTCTTTCCATTCTAACATGCTATTAAAAAAAAAAAAACAACTTGAAAATGTATTTCATATCAGCTTTCTTACAATTTACTTGAATGTGTATGATACTTTGTTTACAGACTTCTGATACTATGCAGCGTTTTTATTTTCTCTACTTTGGGAATGATGCCAGTACTAGACTGATTGGGAAAAATGCGTTACTTTGAATTAATATTGGGATTTTTTATTATGTATTTTTCAGCAATAAATAAAATTAGTCATATTGAATATAGACAGATAACAGTTTCCACTGTCCAGGTGAACTTCTGATTGATATGTTGGATTTAAATGATTTCAGAGAAATCTCTTGGCCTTGTGGCAATTTTGATAAACTATTTTGGAAATTTAAACATTGGAAATTGGGAATTTTAATGTCTTATTTCTATTGAAAACGATGCCTTTCTAGGGTAGTAGTTACATGTATATACATTTGTAAAGAAAAAAATCACTTCTATAGTATACACTGTCCATGTATACACAATCTGTTCTTTTTTTCTACAAACATGACAAAAGCAACAAATCAAACAAAAGACACTTTACAATAAAAAGAAAATAAAAAATGCCTGTGCACAGAAAAAATAGCCATGGCAAAAAAAAAGTTGCAATAGCCCTGCAATGGTAAAAATTTGTCAGGGCAAAATTTCATAAATTTGAGCATTGAATTCAAACATTATAATAGCACCTAAAGTATGTGTTATAATATTGTTTAATATGTGTTTTCCATTTTTCAAGAAACATTTGCCATGGAAAAGTTACGAAAATGTTTGCCAGGTTTGCCATGGCAAGGTTTTTTGTCACATGGCAATTTCTGTTTAACCCCTAGATAAAGTTACCTTGTAACTTGAAGATCATCTCTGAGTTTGGAGAAGAACTGGTCTAGTTGGACCTCTGTCAGTAGTTCATATAACCACTCACTATTCTCCCCTGACTCCATTGTTAGATTAAAGGTCTGAAAACGAAGAATATCTCAATACAAGTATTTCTTAACTACCTCAGTATATATATGGTAAAATTATTAAGTTATAAAAAATAGTAATTATAGTCAGGGTTTTAACTTTGTTCCTTTTTTCCTCTTGCAAATTTTTGCGTTTAAACTTTGCATATGCAGAGCATTGGTCTGACCACTCTACTAATTTTATTAATTACATGTGAACCATTCACACTTAGACCCCTTTAACAAACTGATTTACCTATTTTCAAACCATTGGAAAAACACATCACCTAAAAAATATATTCATGTTTCTTTGCCAAATGTAATTAATTGGACTATTCACTTATTTAAGTTATTATTTCATAGGATGCATTTGTTTCACCAACCCATTTAAATGTAATCCATTTCACTGATTATTATTTTCATATCGCCAATGCTTTTCAAATATTGCAAAGCATTGAATGGCTATGTTAGAAATGTACACATCTGTTAACAATTTGATCTAGTTAATTTACCAATATATTGATTGGCCAAAGGTTTATGTCAAAGGCAATTGCTTATATCTTTCCAAACTTAATATTCCCTGTACTTTACCGACGGAGAGCCATAACACTTATGTATGTTGCACACCTTGCAATGCGTCATCGTGAAGCAATGTGCATTTGATAAAATTTTGATTAAAACCGTTGATTTAAAAAAATTGACTAACAGCTACACAAAATCCTAACTTTCTCCAACACCTGTGGCGTATAATCTTTCCTTTTCACACAATCCATAGACTATTATTTACTCTACCTTATCCAAAGAGTCTTGTAGCCCTAAATTGTCTATACACGAGACATTTAACAATTATTTTTTATAAAATTCTTTCAGCACTCCCACCGGAAGTTTAGTTTGAGTTTCGTCGGTGTCAAGTTAAAAACATCCTCAAACGAAACATCCTGGTAGACGTTCAACTTTATTTTCAACATTTGTTCGAGAAAAGAAGCCTTATTTTAGGTAAATGATAAATATATACCATATCCTTATTTTCATGTATATTTTCATGTATATTATATTAGCGTAAAGCTGTGTACTTTCACTTGTATGAGTTGATTTTTCATTTTGTCACATGTTTTCGCGGCAAAAAATATACCAGAGAAGGATCATCAAGACTTTGATTGATTAAAAAAGTTTTGACAATTGAGTTGCAGAGATTAAACTTTAAATACAACGGTTTAGTTTCAAAAAATGACTTCAATACAATGAAAATTTGTGAACACCAATACTTTGGCACAGAGAATTATTATTTGACCAACATCTTTTTAGCAGACACGAAGAGCAGACACGAAGAACGGAAGTTAAAGAGTTAAAACTCCATCTGAGATGCGCATCTCCATTTAATGAAGAGTATTTTAATACTGACGGCATTTATTTACGAATTTGACCGTAATATTTGCATAAGAAACGTTTAACGCCTGAATGTGAATAAAATTGTCAACATATATACGATTTTAATACAGTAAATGGTGTCCGTACCAAATTAAAGTAAAAATATATTGAGAGAAAGTAGATTTAGTAAATAATTCGCCACGAAACTATTCGCTTCTAGGGCTTTTAAATTTTCACACTCAGACCTGCCATTAAATTTGCTCTTAATCAGCCCTGCCCTTGATAGTGGCACGGATTTATATTACATGTAATATAAATCCGTGATAGTGGTCATACGGTATATTTGCCAAGGGGAAGAAATATTTTATTTAATATCATTTTTTGGGAAAATTGTATATTTTTAATGAATTTTTCTCTGGGGAAGTCGCCGTTAACAGTCCCTGCTATGGAAGGATAAAAAATCCCTGGCTTTAATTTTAATGAAGAGGGTTTAAACTCAAATAATGCTATTTATTTGTGTCACAGTATACTGCCATAACAGCGTATTCAGTGTTTTCATACGTTTAGGGCTGGTTATATGTTCAATTAAAAAATACGCGAATTAATTAAATAGTAGCAGACAATAAGAAGAGCATTTTTTCTAACACTTGTGACGGGTATAGTTATATTTGGCACTTAAGATCAAACATAGACAAACCGACGGAATGTGATATTTTAACTGCCATACCGAACTTTGAAGAGATTTCATACTTTTATGATTCTTGTATGTCCAATGAGGAAATATGAGGATTAAACATGTGAATACACTAATTTTCTGTAACAATAAACGCAATTTCTTAAAAAACGTTACTCTTTGAACACCCCCTATCGGTCACATCAAGTAATGTGACGGGTATAGCTTAAGTTGGCACTCAAAACTAAACATATACCTACCTTTATCAATATTGTAAATGCTTGAAATAATCGTACACAAAAATCACGAAATGATATTAGTAAAAATGATCAAAAATATATACAAAATTCGTAACTTTGAAACGACCCCTCTGTCCCTCAGAAAGAATGTGAGACTTATACTGCCATACCACCTTAATCAGGGCTTCCATACCTTTATGTTTCTTATGTATTCAATGAGAGAATATGCGTTCAAGATGTTAACACTAATTTTCTGTATCAACAAAGCAATTTCTTCGTCAAAAACGTTACTCTTTGAACACCCCCTACCGGTTAAACAAAGTAATGTACGTGACGGGAATGGCTATAGTTGGCACTAAAGAAGTAACATACACCTACATTAATCAGTATTGTAAATGCTTGAAATAATCGTACGAAAAAATTCACGATATAATATTTAGTATTGCAGTTTAGTGAAAATGATTAAAAATAAATACAAAGTCCGTAACTTTGAAACGACCCCTCTGTCCCTCAGAAGGAATGTGTCACTTATACTGGCATACCACCTTAATCAAGGCTTTCATAACTTTACGTTTCTTATGTGTTAAATTAGGCAATATGCGTTTATGATATTAACAAACACTAATTTTCTGTAACAGTAAAAGCAATTTCTTCGTCAAATACGTTACTCTTTGAACATCCCCTATCGGTCAAACTAAGTAATGTGACGGGAATGGCTATAGTTGGCACTAAAGAACTAACATACACATACATTAATCAGTATTGTTAATGCTTCAAACAATCGTACGAAAAAAATCACGATATGATATTTACTAGTGGAGTTTAGAGAAAATGATTAAAAATATATACAAAGTCCGTGACTTTGAAACGACCCCTCTGTCCCTCAGAAGGAATGTGATACTTATAATGGCATACCACCTTAATCAGCACTTTCATACCTTTATGTTTCTTATGTTTTCAATGAGGAAATATGCGTTTAAGATAATAGCAGACACTAACATTCTGTAACAATCAAAGCAATTTCTTCGTCAAATACGTTACTTTTTGAACACCCCTTACCGGTCAAACAACGTAATGTGACGGGTATAGCTATATTTAGCACTAAAGACCAAACATATACCTACTTTAATCAGTATTGTAAATGCTTGAAATAATCGTACGAAAAAATTCACGATATGATATTTAATATTGCAGTTTAGTGAAAATGATTAAAAATATATACAAAGTCCGTAACTTTGAAACGACCCCTCTGTTCCTCAGAAGGAATGTGACACTTATACTGGCATACCACCTTAATCACGGTTTTCATACTTTTATTTTCCTCTGTGTTCAATGAGGAAATATGGGTTCAAGATATTAGCAGACACTAATTTTCTGTATCAATAAAAAGCAATTTAATTATTTGTCAAATACGGTACTCTTTGAACACCCCCTACCGGTCAAACAAAGTAATGTGACGGGAATGGCTATAGTTGGCACTAAAGAACTAACATACACCTACATTAATCAGTATTGTAAATGCTTGAAATAATCGTACGAAAAAAAAATCAAGATATGATATTTTATATTGCACTTTAGTGAAAATGATTAAAAATATATACAAGGTCCGTAACTTTGAAACGACCCCTCTGTCCCTCAGAAAGAATGTGACACTTATACTGGCATACCACTTTAATCAGCACTTTCATACCTTTAAGTTTCTTATGTGTTCAATGAGGAAATATGCGTTCAAGATATTAGCAGACACTTCTTTTCTGTATCAATAAAAGTAATTTCTTCGTCAAATACGTTACTCTTTGAACACCCCCTACCGGTCAAACCAAGTAATGTGACGTGAATGGCTATAGTTTGCACTAAAGAACTAACATACACCTACATTAATCGGTATTGTAAATGCTTGAAATAATCGTACGAAAAAATTCACGATATGATATTTAATATTGCAGTTTAGTGAAAATGATTAAAAATATATACAATGTCCGTAACTTTGAAACGACCCCTCTGCCCCTCAGAAGGAATGTGACAATTATACCAGCATACCACCTTAATCAAGGTTTTCATACCTTTATGTTTATAATGTGTTCAATGAGGAAATATGTGTTTTAGATATTAACAGACACTTATTTTCTGTATCAATAAAAGCAATTTCTTTGTTAAATACGTTACTCTTTGAACACCCCCTACCGGTCAAACAAAGTAATGTGACGGGAATGGCTATAGTTGGCACTAAAGAACAAACATACACCTACATTAATCAGTATTGTAAATGCTTGAAATAATCGTACGAAAAAAAATCAATATGATATCTAATATTGCAGTTAAGTGAAAATGATTAAAAATATATACAAAGTCGTTAACTTTGAAACGACCCCTCTGTCCCTTTGAAGGAATGTGACACTTATACTGGCATACCACCTCAAACAAGGTTTTCATACTTTTATGTTTCTTATGTATTCAATGAGGAAATATGCGTTCAAGATATTGGCAGACACTAATTTTCTGTATCAATAAAAGCAATTTCTTTGTTAAATACGTTACTCTTTGAACACCCTTTACCGGTCAAACAAAGTAATGTGACGAAAATGGCTATAGTTGGCACTAAAGAACTAACATACACCTACATTAATCAGTATTGTAAATGCTTGAAATAATCTTACGAAAAAAATGCAATATGATATTTAATAGTGGAGTTTAGAGAAAATGATTAAAAATATATACAAAGTCCGTAACT